GCTATGGGTTCATTTGAACTGGGGCCAGAATAGTTCATTGGGACTAGATGGAACTTGGCAACTCTTCATTCAGCATGCAGAGTGGGCCATTTGAGTATATATATCATTTTCATGTAAGCAATAATAGGAGGATGTCACTGATACTGATTTAATGTTTCACTTTCCACTCCTCTGAGTGTTACATTTCTTCTGAAATTACCCAAGCCAACTTGCATTATAAAAGTTTCGCATATCCCCCTCCAAAAAAGGCAACTCTGTCTGCTCTTGCATTTTGCCTTATTTTGTGTCTTCTTCTCCTTAAATAAGAGCTTGAAATTATTTTAGTCTTTTTTGGCTTACAAAGATATCTATCTCTCGATCTCAATAAATAATTAAACCCCTAAACCAAATAGGTGTGTGGCCAAGTCAGCATCATGGCTTCAGGTCTGTACATGTTTAATGAATCTAGAAAATGATGTTCCTCATCATAGTAGGACAGAAACCTTTTAGTAAGAAGCCAAGTAAACCACTGTTTGTTTAAATATGCATATTCTGTAAAAGCAGGCTTCAGACCCTTTCAAATTGCCCAAGCCCAAAAATAAATGCCACAGGAGGATTTGAGAGGCCGCACAGTTGGAGGAGGAAAAACATAACCAAATGTGGCTCATCCTGCAAATGTACTTTGGTCATTCTCCCATCCAACAGGCCAAAGTAAACTAGAGCCTAATGTACCAGAAGGCCTTTTTCACATCAGATCTAATCCAGAGTCCCGGAGTTGGAAAATTGTTATAGCTAATCATCAAAAAAGATAGGATACTGATAGAAAGAAGTACAATGTTTCCACCTGGAAGCCATCTGTGGCCCATACCAGAATGCTGTAAGCCATTTAATATTAATATGTAAAAAAGAGAGTTGCAACTCCCAGAACCCCACAACAGGCAAAGTCGCTTTTCCAAGCATTGCCCTGGGTGCTGCTCACTTTGATTTGGTTAGCTATTATCATTATCGTTTCTTTATATTGTGCCTGGCACTTTACAAGTAAAACAACCAAAACATGGGATCCTGACAGAGGCATACAATCAAATATATATATCTGTATATCTATGCACATATTCAGAACATTACATCCACAGGTTCAGTATGCACAAATTCAACCATCCACAGCTTGATTATTTTAAAAAATACCAAAATGCAAACCTTGAATCTAAGGGCAGTGCTCTTCTTTCCTTGTCTATTTACCTTGATGTTTTGTTACATTTTACTTTTTCTTAGACTGACTCTTTTTTCCTCAATGCTGGATGACTTTCCATGAATAGGCACTGCAGCCCCCAAGCTGAAGTTCTGGTGCCACAAAGAAACTGGAAATGGCTCACACTGGCTCTGTGGAGTAAGACTGAGAGTTTGGGATCAGAGGCAGGGAAAGCATTGTTGCTGAAGTGGGGGGTTTCTCCACTTTTGGGTTGCTGTGACTTTTCTGGGCTGTATGGCCATGTTCCAGAAGCATTCTCTCCTGACATTTTGCCCAAATCTATGGCAGGCATCCTCAGAGGTTGAGGCCCATTGGAAACTAGGCAAGTGAGGTTTATATATCTCTGAAATGCCCAGGGTGGGAGAAATAACTCTTGTCTGCTTGAGGCACATGTGAATGTTGCAAATGGCCACTTTGATTATCATTGAGCAGCCTTGCAGCTGATCCACTCTCTCCACATTTTTTTCTCAACCATTGCCTCATGATGGATATATTACCACCTGATGGGCTACTGTAATTGTCCTTTCAAGGGTGCAGGGTGCTTGAATGAAAGGGTTGGACTGGGCAAACAAGAGAAAATCAGACAAAACTTGGCTCAATCCAACAGTTGATCTCCTGGTAAGCAGCGTCCCTTTAAAGCAGTGGTTCTCAACTTGATGTTCTGGCCTTCAACTTCCAAAAATCCTATCAGCTGGTAAACTGGCTAGGAATTCTGGGAGTTGTAGGCCAAAACGCCAGTGGACCCGCAGGTTGAGAATCTCTGCTTTAGAGTCCTGTGCTCATAGGGTCTCTCAAAACATTAAGGCCTAGATCACTTTAACCAATGGAACCACTGATTATCCAGCTTTGCTCAAACCAGGTTAGCATGGAAGGGTTTTGGCTCCCATTTTAAGATGTGTTTCCTTCATGTCAGCTCATCAGCTGTATTTTAAAAATCCTACACAGAGAAGGATTTGCATCAAGGACAAGATGCCATGAAGCCTGTAAGAAGATAGTGCTATGGAGATTTCTTTGGGAATCTGAATCCCATCTTCTCTTTCCTGGGAATGAGTTTTGGCATCCGCATTCAAGAAAACATGTTGGTTGGGTGTTTTCTTTTTAAAGGAATAGTTTCCTTAATGCCGATCATCTTGCTTGTGCTATAGAAATGGTTTTGACAAGCAGTGAACTCTCTGGACTCTTCAGTTTGAGAAACAGCATCCAGCTGGAATCAACTAGAGAACACTGAACAGTCTGGAAAGCTAATGAAGCACTGAACAAATGTTTATATAGGGGATTACAATAATATATGTGTATGTGACTTCGAGCTGCCTATCATCTTATGACTTTCACAAGGTTTTCTTACAATAAGGGCTACAGTAAATGTTATCATCTCCAGATGATGATGTTTTTCTACAACAATTTGAGGTTGGCAACCTTTCCTTAGCAGGATTTTTCTTGTAAAGATCAGCTTCAGTCTACAGAAGTTGCTCTTTGCTTGTTGCCTATGAAGACCATATTGTAACACTCCCGCCAGCTGTCCTGATTTAGCAGAGATATCCTAATCAATCTTCTGTCATCTCATGTTCTCTGCTTTTTAAAAATGTCTCCGTTTCTCTCTCTCTTTTTTTCTCACCTCTGATCTCAAATCTTATCGATTGCTACAAACTGAATTCAAATTACAAAAGTATTTGTAGTTTAATTTAAGGGAGGGAGAGGAAGGAGCAATACGTTTCTTTTCCTTCTGACTCTGGGGAAAGTAAACTGCTGCAGCTTTTCCTAGCCTGTGTGCTCTTCCTTTTTACTAGCTTCTGCCATCTTGGACACACTCTGATATCTCTTGGCCACATGTGTCCGAGTTTCCATATGTTAAATGTTGGAGGGTATGTTGTCATACTGGTCTTGAACTGAGGGACAGGGTTGCATTTATTCATGTAATGTAATACCCAAGTATTTTGTTCTTTACAGAGATGTAAGGGTCTGCTTTACAGACATAAAGTAGGGATATATTGAAAAATCCTCAAGCTTATTTTTACTCATTGGAAAAGCAGGAAACCACCCTTTTCGGCTGAGAATGTATTGTTTCCTGTCCTTATCAAATGTCATTGCTTGCAGATGGCTTTTGGGAAACAGTTGCCCTATTTTTGCAAGATGCGTGTCAATTTCTGCTAGTGAGTTGGAACTGATTTTAGCATATACACATGTGCACACTCAAAGAGAGCAAACAGAAATCCTTCTGCAATATGTGTTGGACAGGCTTCCAAAAACACTGTAGGCAGCAGCTATTGTGGCAAACTTAATTCTTTCCAGTTAAAGGAACATAAGAAAGCAATTTCTGTTGCTGTCATGTTGTTTTGTTTGTATTTCTATTTTGTTACTCAAAAGTATCTTGGAAACAGCCTGTGGCACTATCATAACTCATTACAAGTCTTGCAGTGGAAGCCTTTTATCTTGTTTCTAGTTAGTGGAAGAGTGCCCTCTTGTGGCAGCAACAGCAAAGTACAGTGCTGGAGGTGTAGGGAAATCTGATAGTAAAAGTTGGTTGGAGGCAACAGCTTATAGGAAGGTAATGTCAGAAGCAAAGCAAGGTCCGGTCTGACTAGTAACTGGAAGAAAGAGCACCATGTAATACTAGAAGATGGCAATGGCAAATCTCTTCTGAAGAAATCTAATTAAGAAAACCCTTTCACGGGATTGCCATAAGAGCTGGCATGATGTAGTGGCTTGAGTGTTGGATGAAGAGTCTTGGAAATTGAGGTTTTCCTACAATAAGGGCTACAGTAAATGTGATCATCTCCAGATGGTATTCTACCTCTCAGCCATGGTAATGCACTTGGGGATCTTGGGTGAGCCTCATCCTCTCAATGGGAAATCTCTTCTGAAGCACTGGTTCTCAACCTGTGGCTCCCCAGATTTTTTGGTCTTCAACTCCCAGAAATCATAACAGCTGGTGAACTGGCTGGGATTTCTGGAAGTTGTAGGCCAAAACACCTGTGGACCCACAGGTTGAGAACCACTGGTCTAGAGCTAGACCCCCATATCTGCAGGGGATACATCTTAGAACCTCCCATGTACGTATACCTGACAATAGCAAACCCTATGTTTTTATTATACTTGAACCCAACACATACCATAGGGTTGCACTAGAACACTGTTTCTTAAACTGTGTGTCTTGACACTAAATAGGGAGCCCCTGGTGGCACAGTGGGTTAAACAGCTGAACTGCTGAACTTGCTGACCGAAAGGTCACGGGTTTGAATCTGGGGAGCGGGGTGAGCTCCCACTGTTAGCCAGCTTCTGCCAACATGCAAATAGTAGATCAATAGGTACCACTTTGGCGAGAAGGTAATAGCACTCCATGCAGTCATGCTGGCCACATGACCTTGGAGGTGTCTATGGACAATGCTGGCTCTTCCCCCAGAGTTGGACATGACTGTACTTAACATCAGGGAAAAACTTTTACCTTTTTAGGGTCCCCTTAGCTCAGTGTTGGGGTCCTGAAAATTTTGGCAGCAAAGTTCTCTGAATGTCACCTAGTGCTATTTTAGACATTTATATGACTCTATTGTGCCACTCTCCTGAATGTCTCTCTGGGATTGAAGAGGTTTGACCCAAGAGACACAAGGTTGATACTGTCTCTTCCACCACACTGTGCAAAACACCCGTTGGAAGCTTTTAAGGAAGATTCAGGAACATCTCCTGTTCTCTCAGAAAGTCCTGTATTATTGTAATTGTCAACCACTTTCAATTAAGCCTTTATTATTTTTCCAAAAAATAATTTTACATATATGTATGTATTTAAGGAATTCATTTATTTTCCTTTGAACAATAGAACATAGTTATAGAGAAGTTTTCATACACAGAAAAATTCATTTTGTTGCCCTTTTTTGCTGGATAAAACAGAGCAGTCATCTTTACACATTCATAAGCCTCCCCACCCCATTTTTTCCTTTTTCTTTACTATACATAGCTTTTCAGGTTGAAACTAACTGCAAGGATGTACTGGTATATTACAGCTACTTACATTATTTCAGAACAGCAAATGGAGAAAAATAAGTTATTTAAATACTGTTTCATATACAGAAAGTGCAACATTTGTTAGTTGTTACATAACTTGCTTAAAGTTTCTGGGTTTTTTTTTAATGAGAGGTCTCAGATATTGGTAGTAGTTAGTTTGTACTCAAAAAGTATTTCGCTTGGTTGGCTAAATCCAGTTGTTAATTTCAGTTAGCACAGACCCACCATATCAGTGAGAACATGGTAATTTGTATGTTAAGTCCTACCAATTTAAAAACAACAATTTCTAGTTGGGACTAGTAACTGGATTTAGCCTCACACAATACTGTTGTACAGCTCTGACTTGGTGAACTGACCTTTATTGCTGCTGTGTGAGTAGGATTAACAAGATACTGCACCCTGATTATTTCCCAGGTTGCCATTTGCACCAAAAGTCAGGTTTACAGTTTGGACCTTCACTTTTGAGAATGTTGCAGTCAGATAGGTGGGTTCCTCTTGGGCCTCTGTGAATTCCAGACTGTTTCAAATTCATGATCTCTGTGTAAGCCCTTGTTTAGTACATACCTTGAGACCATGAATGCCCCCCCAATTCCCACTTATTGGGAAGAAGTTGCTGAGATTGATAAGAGGTTGTTCCCTTATCACTTAGGAAGCAGAAGATGGATTTTTACAGAAATCTTCTGTAGAGAGGGATTTGGAAAGGAGACCTTGTCTCTGCATGTTGCACTGGAGATTGCTTTGGGAGGTTTTGGAAATATCAGTCAATTGCTTCAAGAGTGATAGGAGAATGGGTTGCCAGTGGTTGCAGAGGCTACTACCCAGGACGTGGGGACGGTTACACCTCAGGGTGGGGGTAACTGCATAGCTGTTGTGCTCAAGAGGATTCCAGTCATAATAATTAATTTTGTAGTTATGACCTTACACCATGGATAATGATCAGGCCCCTTTAATGTAGAAAAATAAACAAGAACTGAATCAATCCAAGAGTTTGGTTTTATGCTGATAGCCCCCAAGCTGACATTTACTCAAAACTCTCTTGGCTAGATTCCGAGAGCACAATGGGTCCTCGTATTGCTTGTATTTCCTTTGTACCTGACTTTTAAGGCCTTTTCAGTGTATATATGCCCATATTGCTTAAGGGGTCAACTGCTCAATTGACAGTATACATCCAAAATGTAGGTTGAAACATCAAAGTGTGGGAGGGGATGTGTGTCAAAACAATATTGGGGAATGGAATTCTGGCAGCTTCTGACCCCTGATTTAGAAGGAGCAACATTACATGCAGGTTACAAACAGATGAAATACTGATTATTCAACAAATGTGGTAGTCATGTGACTCCAGTAAGTCCTATGAAGGTGTTCCAAAAAAGGTTAAATCAACATGCAATTAAAGGAACTGGCAATAACTTTGTCCTGTGATGGATGAATACTATTAACTGACATTGAAATAACACATTTAAACATGCAATGCAAAGTATGACATCCTACTTTTTCCATATATGGAAATATTTCTAGGTGTAGTTATCCCTGTGTTCTATCAGAATATACTGAACAGATTGATGAAGAGCCACCTGCCATGCTACGCTTTGTGGAAGTGCTCTATCATGGAAGTTGTCCCTTTTAGATGAGTCCATAGAATCCCTCTAGTCAGCATGGTCAGTGGAGAAATCTAGTACAAACAAGAAACCTTTCCTAGTTTGGCTTAGAAGGCTTACTAGGAAAGGGTAAATTTGTATTGCAGAGCCTTAAGAAAAAAGAAATATTTTTCTACCGTTACCTTAGTAACTCTTGATTTTAGACATGGCAGTGACGTATGCGAACATACCAGTGTTGTAAAATGTTAATGGTGAGCATGATTCAATTTAGTGAGTGCTCCATTTATACAGGTTCTTGCTGCATATAAGAGTTTGTAGTTATACAGCACTCTTCTATAGAGAGCATAATATGGAGAAAGCAAATGAAGGAAAAGGTTAAATCCCTTTAAAGAAAAGCATTTCCCCTTTTTCATGCACCATGCAATGGTTTTCCATATTTATACCTACAACAGCAGTAAAGTACATTTATATGGTGTTGTTGCGAGCCTTCAAGTTGTTTCTGACTTTTGGGGCCATTCCACACAGTCCTATATCCTAGAATATCAAGGCAGAAAATTTCAGTGTCTCCTATGAACTGGGTAATTTGAGTCCATACTCAGATAATGTGTGATTTTCTGTCTTGTAATTCTGGGATATAGGGCTGTGTGGAAGAGCCCATGGTGACCCTAGGGTGACTATCACATAGTAATGGCTACAATTAAAAAAATCCCAATCCTATCATTCTCACATTTATAATGGTTACTTTATCAACCTACAGGTTAGGTAAAGACAGCTGCTTAAAAGAAAAACTGAACTGAACATGCAACAATTAAAGCAGAATTTCATTCTCTGTTTCGTGAATAGTTGAAGTACTTCTATTAAATTTAAACTGTGTGACGAGTATGAGGATCCTTGGAAGACACTTGATCACAGTGATGTTATGAAGTGTTCCTTTCTGAGTTTCATAGTATTGGACATCACCCAGCTCAAGTGAAGCACTTTGGAATGGGCATGTTAAAAATGTGGAAGACTTAAGACAATCAAAGAAAAATGAATCTGGAAAGATTGTGCCTGTTGCATAGTGGCCAGCCTAGATTATATTTTTAAGATTAGATTTCAATGTGTGGATCTGATTGAGAGTTTTTATATTTCTAGTAAGGCCAGTCCTGGAATGGAGTTATGCTTTGGCCACACCTGCCAGGCAAAAACAGGTTGTTTATTTTTGCTGGTTCTCTGTTCCAGAAGGTGCACCAAACATTTAGGGTTGCAGGGAAAGGAGGAGATCAGAAGTATTGCCCCCTTTCCTACTAATCTAAAAACAAAATCCAATCTCTTGTATTGAAAGAGGGAGCTTTATTCCTAAGGGAGGACTTCATTGGATCTGCTCTGTCAAAGTAAAAACATTGGGGCTACTGAAACTTTCGTTTCAATTTAATTACGGATATTTTGGCAACTTATTCTATGCACTTTGATGAATTGTACTTTATGCACAGTTAGCTCTAGGTATCTATGGCTTCCATGATTTATGGCTTGAAAATATTTCGACCACCGCCACCACAAGAGAATCCAAAAAGCAAACCATGGTTTTTCCATATTACATAAGGGGCACCATTTTAGTACATCACTGCATATAATGAGCTTGGATTTTGGAATCCATGAGGAAACCAAGAAGGAAATTCCAGTGGATACTGAGGGCCCACTGTGCTATGAAAAGGGAGGTAGAAGGAAGTGCAAAAACATTCAGCTGTCTAATATTCTCCATAGCCTACCACTTCTCTTTTTCTTCCACAAAAGGATCCAGTTTTAGGCTAGATTATATTACACATTGTATTTCATTTAAAATAAATTATGGGAAAATCCATGAAGCTTAAAAGCATATGGACAAGACATTTTGGGGAAATCAATTGCTTTGTGTCTGCATCCTATGTGAAATGTACTTTCAGAACATGTAAACGAGTTCCTGTTCAAAGGTAGAGTAAAGGAGGCACGGAGAGGTGGTGAAACTTGCTTGTCATTATGTAACAGTTTAAAGTAGATCTCTAAATCCTGTGTCCAATACTGTTATATTTCCTAGTCTACTCGCCTATTATCGACCCTGACATGTCTCTATTTATTTTACTGTGTTAATGGAAATTACAAAATAATCTAGATATTAAGACTCAAGATGAGTTTATTTGGTATACAAAATGTACAAAAATAAACTCTATCTATATTCATAGAAGTCAGAAGATTTAACACTGAATATTTTAATAGTTTTAGAAGCTGAGATCATGGCACTGTAAAGAAAAATCAGATTGCTCCTGCAGTCCAGGTAACTTTTATTCTAACACAATCATTTCAGCACCAAGTAACAGAGGTGTTTTATTGATGTTGTGCAAGCATGGCAGCCCAAACCTTTCCCGTGTCTATAAAATTGAACAGAATCCTTGTTTTGACACTATGTGAGACACAGTTTGCTTATTCAGTTTATTTACTCCCCCTTGGTAAACTTTTTCGTTCCTCTTCCAGAAACCAGTGTTTCCCATTGATGCGGTCAGGATACCAAGTCAAAGCTGCAACCAATCTATTGCCAGTATAACACAGTACACCAAAGTTGCAATTAATGCAAAAAAGAGCATTTTTATAATTTTATATATATTTATATATATATATGTACATACACAACACAAAATATCTTGTAGCCTTTTAGTAATATCCCAGCAAACATGAACTGCCAGAAACAACTTGTTAGCCTGAGAACTGAAATCTCTGATTTCAAAAATGTTTTAAAAGCAACTTTATAAAACAGATGTTACAATGAGATAATCTATAGAAACTGCTTTAGACAAACCTGTCTGTTGCTAGATAATAATGCCAACAATTAAAGGTCTGGGAAACATGGATGCTGGTAAATGAACTGCTTAAAAGCATTTAAGGCAAATAAAAAAGCTGAGTGCTGAAAAGCAGTTATAAAATTATTTTATCTCTATACAAAGAAAGGAATTTTCTGGATCTGTCTGATAATTAGATGACTAGCTAATCCAGTCCATAACTTTGGCCTAAATAAAAGAGTAGAGGGGAATGCATGGTGGACCAGATACTGTTTGACTACAACTTCCCTGAATATTAGCCATCCTGACTAGGGTTGGTCAGACTCCAACAACCTCTGGAGAGGCATAGGCTTTCCAAACTGAAAAATAACAGCAAAATCTACCAAGAGGAAACATGGAGTCCAGAAAAAGAATGTAAAAGGATAAGCAGAGTGCCTCCATTAGTTATGTAATCATCATTACACTGATTTGTTAAAAAAGCATTTTCTCTCACATTTGATGCACCTATTTATGTGCAAGTTTAGAGCCACATATCCATGATTTAGTTAATAAGCTGCACTTTAACCAAAGAATGGGAAAAAACCTAACTCTGCTGTGTCCTACTTCTTCCCAGTTTCTGGGACATGAAGTTAATGTAGATTTTGCTTTTGCTTTTTAATTGAGAGATTCCTTTTTCTGTAATGAATACAGACAGTGGGCACTGAGCCTCCAGTCACCTTTAGAATCATAAAGAAACAAAACCAATTTCTTGTGCCTTTTCTTTTAGGGTAAATCCCTTTTATGACTTCTGTGCTCCTTTAGGCATCATAGCCCAGGAAAGGACCTGTTTTGCTTGATCCTCAAATCATTTCTCAGAGAAATTAAGACAGCTGCAGGCCTTCCTAACAGGCACATGACCAAATCATGTTATTAAACTGTCTCTGTATCAAGGTCTTTGAAAAGTCTTGCTGCAGCCAAAAGCTTGCTTATGTGCCTCTCCTCTGTGATGCCGGCCTCATGAAGGGACATCTGGGACAGAGAAGGGACTTTGCAAAGGTCACTCACTCCTGCAGCCACAAGGGAAGTGGCATACATGGGAAGGCCAATAGAAACCAACCAGTCAGTTATGGAAGTGATGTGTCCAGGAGTGATCGGTTTTCGGCAGATTTCAGTGAGTCCTCCACTTGGAATCTGGAGCAAAAAGAAAACAAAACACAACCACTTTTCCACTGTGTTGCTAAAGTGCCACAATTTGGGGTTGGGACAGACAGCCCACTGTACATACAGATCTCATGCTTATAGGGCAGGGGGAGAAGGCTCCTAAGAGCTTTTCTAATGCAGCTTCCAAACCCCCAGCAGTTAAAAACTATGTCTAGATGCCTCTAGAAGTAACAATGTAGCAAGCAAATGCCTGGCCCCTTCATCTTCACCTCCACAACTGAGACTGGAAGTACATTTTGATCAGTTGTGATGATAATAATGGTGATCAGTGTCATAAACCATTGCGTGTCGCAAAAGGCCTTTATAACATGGAAGACAATTAAAAATAATGTACACAGGCCCACAAAATTGAGAGTTATACATGCAGCACATGCTGGTTTTATAGGAATTTATTCTATAAAAATGACCTCAGATTTGGCTTATCACATACATTTTTTTCATAATTTGTTTTGATGTTTCCATGTTGTAAAATATGACTGAACATAGCATCGAAATCAGTAGTAACGTTTGCGGCATGATATTTTTACTGTGTTCAGCACTCCCAAACAGCTGCATGTTGACCCAACAGGCAATTAAACATGACAAACCCCAGAATTTGATTTTTCTTCAGTTGTTTGAAATATGTAATTTAATCCAGACTTACAGCCATACGATGCTGTTTCCTCAACTGCTTCACCCGGATTTGGTCCATATTTGAAGCAACATCCTTTCCAGGTTGGTCTAAATCTTCAGAGTATCTTTGCACTAAAAGCTCAGGGATCCCACAACGACCGTGCTGCAGATTCCACCCATCCAAAGATGAAAGACAGAAGAATAATGAAATATATAAATTCCTGTTAATAAGAGTACTTCTTCAACTGTTAAACCAGATCATTTGTCCCCATGCTTTAAGAAACCATAATATATTTAACTTGGGTGCATGGTATCTCCATTTGCACAGCTATCTACATTTGCAAATTAGTTTATCTAAGCTATCACCCCAAATAAGATCTTTTTAAGTAGGATGGTGAGAGCAGTACATAAGAGTTTATATAGAGAGCAGTGTATGTCTTCACACAATAGTTGAAATGTATGAACCAATCTGGGAATACAGTGAGTCAATAATCCTTCCGTCTTTCCTCCTCATCAGTAGTTTATATTTATACTCACTACTAAGGAATAATTTCACAATACATACAGACAAATGAAACCCAGCCTAGAAAGAATAATAGAGTTACCATACCTTGTCAGAATAGGGGTCATCTGTGAGATCGATTTCTTCAGATTGCAGCTTATTTTCTATCAGCATTTCCAGATCCAGCCCTCTACTGCTGGGGGATTTTCTTATTGATGGACATAATTTTAACACATGTTGTTGGACACTAGCAGTCTCTGGAAGATCTGACAGCCAAGGAGGCCGTGGGCTCAGTTCCTGTTCTGGAGAGGGCCTGCCCACAGTCAATGCATGGGAATCAGAAGAGCCACACTGGGCAGTCTTTTTTGCTGGCAAAGATGGCACATCTGGACAAGAATGGGCTGAAGGGAGATGGCAGTGACCATTAGCAAGACGTTCTCTGCTTTTTTTGGCTGGAACTGGTGGTGGCTGTGAAGAGCTTTTTGGCTGTGTTCTTGGCTCTCCTGTACTGATCTGATCAGCTTCTGTACCCTTCTTGGGGACGGGGAATTGTTCAGCTCTTCCCAGGTCATGACTGCTATTTTTACAGTTTTCAAAAGGGATCCATGTAACAGCCTGTGAAAGTGAAGATGATCGAACCTCACTGTTCTGAGGAGGAAAGAGAGGAAATGTTCCACTAGAAGGGATGGTTGCAGGTATGTGCAATTCCTCTGCTTTTCCAATAAGAGAATCCACACCCTCTTTGCCCTGCTGTGCTATCACCAGTTCTGATTTTAAACAGTTAGTACCAGACTCTCTATGAAGATCTCCAAGGGAATGAGACCGTGGCCATAGGGGCACACTTGGGGTGTCTTCTAGAATCTCACAGCTTCGGCAGATACCAACTGGTAAACTTCTGCGGTTTTTCTTGAGGCTCATGCCTGATGGGGGTTTGAGGCAGCTTTTTGGAACTTGATGTGTGCAATGAAACAATGCCTTGTCTCCTTGTTGAAGGGCATCTATTGATTTTGTTATAGGTAGACCTGGATAATTTGCCAGTGGGGTTCTGTGGAAATTCTTAAAGCTGTATTCACTGGTTAGTTTTGAAGGAAGGAGACACAATTTTCTGGTCTTTGCTGAAACAAAACAAAATAACTATTAGATTCTGTGCATGTGCAAAAGAGATTTCAGTTTAGCATATCTACATCAATATTTGATATCATCAATATTTGATATTTTTTACACTGTTTCTGTATAGTAAGTCCTACTGAACTCATAATTACTTACTTCTGGGTAGAGAAATACAGCATTACTTCATTAGCTTCATTAACAGTGTGTGATTATAAACATTGAGAGCAATTATACAAGTAATCATATCCCTCCCTCCTCACTTTGGATCATTCAGTTTGCAAAATGAAACAGTGCCATTTTGACTGCAATCTTTGGACTTACTCTTATGGTTAAAACCAACGTGATCTCAATAAAAATGAGATGAAAAATACAGGTATCCAAGTTAATCTTGGGAATTTCTAAATTTGAATCCAGACAAAGATTAATTTGTTATAAAAACTCTTGAGCAAACAGAAAAAATACTTCCTATAAATAAAGAGTATCATTTTGTTATATATCCCAAAAGTGCACACCAGCAGCAATTTAGTTTTGTATCACCCTTGTTTCTTATTTTATGGATATACATGCTTTTCCTCTTTCCAGAATTGGAGGCTTGGATCTAGTTCGTATGCATTCATAAAACACTGTGAGCTTCTTTGAATATTAAAGGGAAGCAGCAAGAGACGAAATGTGGATTTAGATGAATGTTGCTATGAATTAAGCATTTTCTATCTATGTTTGCTCCTGAACCTCTGTAATATTCACTCTGCATGCAAGAGCACACGTTAGTACAACACCATAGGTTCTGTCCTTCTAAGAGAGAGAGAGAGAGAGAGAGAGAGAGAGAGAGAGAGAGAATGCCTACTTAAAATGCTGATGTAGCTTTCCACTAACTTTTTTCCACGGGTAGCAAGATTTCAACTTCTTTAGAACTTCTCTTGGTTTGATAAAATGGCTTTTTCAGTCAGATTTAAAATCTAAAAGTGTTTCTCCAGTGCAAGTAAATGCCACAACGATCAGGAATTCATTCTAAACAGGCAACATACTTGAAGAAACAAGTGGGAAATCCACCCAGAAGAGGAGGGATGCCAGATAAATCGTCCTACTATAGGCCCATATCAATGGCCATGCCAGCTCTCACCCACTGCTCCAGAAATGCAAACGGATGCAAGAGATTTGCCTTGCCCAACCTGTTTCTACTGACTGTACAGGCAGAAAGGCCCTTGAACTTATGTAAACTGGTTGTAAGAAACAGGCTCCATCTATAAACAGGAATAACAACAGCTTTCAGAGACCTTCATCTGAAATTCAAAGAGTCAAGTGAGCATATAATTATCTTCCCTTGATGGTGCTGGTCAACATTGTTTTCAACATAGTCTCCAAAAAACTTACTGACTGAAATGGGTTGTACTTGCTTTGATGCAAAAAATAAAAATAAAAATCACAGTGTAGAAAACAAGCAAAGGCTTTGTAGGAGAATGCCTTCATGGGAGAGTGTTTCTTTACTGTGAGATGACAATGTTTGCAATCCCAAAAGTCATATATGGAAGGACTCAATCAGAAATTCAGAAACTGGTTTTTGCTAGGTATACATTTGCACATGATTCCAACTTATTGTAGATGGCTGGATTCCAACCTACTCATAATGAAATCCTCAACATTGATTTTGCAATGAAATGGCAAAGAATGAAGTGAAGCTGCTGGAGAGAGGGTGATATTTTCAAGTCAAACAGGCATCAAGAAATCTGTTATAGTTCATGTGGATTCAAAACAGAGAAGGCACTCATATTCACAGATATCTATTCACCACAAGGATGAAGAATAATCTATGGAATAGAATAGTCACAGTGTTGGCTTTTCAGGACGAGGACTTCCAGGACTACTGATGAAAAGGCACTGTCTGTCTGTTCCATTTCTTTCTGTGTTTTTCTCCCAGTAAAGTAATTAGAAAACATAGTAGGTTACAAATGGAAGATATCAAGTGGTTTTACTATCTCCAATAAAAGTATGTGTTTTAAACTGAGTGACTGCAATAGCCTTGGCTGGAATAAGTAATTACAAATACAAATGTTGAATTTAGAGTTTGCATTCATAACTGGCTTGCGTTCACTATGCCTATGCATTCAATTGTGTAAAGAATATGGAGGAGTCATAAAAGCCCCAAATCTAGATTTAATGGGCAGTAGCTGCTGAGACGGATGAGCATCTGTTCTCCATCACTCAGGGAACAGCACATTGGCATTGTCACACATCCCTTCAGTGAGTAATCTTTGGTGCAAGAAGAAATTACAAGAGAGATCATGCTTCTGTCATTTTGAAAATTGATACAACATTGGTTTGTTGCATTTGTATTTCACCAACCTCTACAATGTTCAGAAACATATGTACACATCTCTCTATTCATTTCACTTCTGAAACAAACTGTAGCCGTGGAATACAACACTGCCAGTCTATCAATGTTTAAATCTAGTTAAGACACACCGTGAATCACAGAAAAGCCTCTTGGAATAGCTCAGCAACAAAATCATTTGAGAAGTCCTTCAAACATCATGCAACTTATGTAAACAAGTAACTCCCAGAGAACAACCTTTGTCAAGACTGTGAATACTTTTTCCTAAATCCTTATAAGCAAACAAGTTACATCCTTCATTGCTACACTTCCTTAATATTCTCTTCTAACAGGGGAGCAAATTTAAGAGACAGAAATAGGTATGAAGCATGCCACAAAGAAGCCTAGAAGTATGAAAGAACATGGAATGCCGAAATGGCAATTTAAAATTTTGCAACATTTTGTGAAGCAAGCAGAGAAATTATGAAAAATCAAACAGATATTCTGTGCTTTTGTGTGTGTGAATAGATCAACTGTTACCATTTTCTAGATTTTCACTGCTTTCATAGCATCCTGAATCCCGGGGAGAGCATCCACTTAACTGGCCATCTCCAAGGAGCTTCTCTTGAGAGCCAGACTGATCACTGTTACCTGGAGGAAAGCAAAGAAAAAGCAAGGCTGAAAAGGCAGCAATTCCATAAAGAAGAGAGGTAACAAACTCCCCTTTAAAATATTGAGCAACACAAAAAAGTCCAATGGTTTAGTAAGTGTTGCAGAAGTGCTGTCAGCAAATAATGACTACATTACTGTTTCACAGAGCAGTATTATCGTAAGAAATCATGATGGAAGAAAGAAGAGGGCTGAGAATTAATTATTAGAGATATGGAAAGCAAATGACCTGAACTAGATTTCAGGAAAATTTATGAAAAGGCACTATGTTTCAGGGTAGCTGTAAAATTATACAGTGCTAAACTTATGAATTGTTACCATCATGATCACAAGAACAGCTATATCAGAAAATGTATCTTCTTATGCTTAATGAATTTTAGAAAAAAAAATCCAAACTGAAGCTATGTTTCACAGGAATTTAAAAACCTGTGCATCTTTCATATTTTCCCTTTAGCACTCTGCTTTGGATCCTACTGGTATTTGCTGCTAGAAAGGAAGGAGATATCCTGTTTGCAGGACATGGGACATGGGAAGGAGAACTGAGGGGGGGGGGGGGTCTTCTACAATTTTTTCTAAGCCAAGGAAGAACAGGAGGACTCTTTGGGGACAATTCTCACAATCCCTGAGCTCACATTCCAAGCCCAAGTGTGGTGAACATTTCCAGTTAGGAATAGCCAGAAAGTGCATCTATGTCTGTTGGTACCAATTTATTGATCATCCATTCTACATTGTTGGGCCTTTCTTCAGCTCTGACTTTTCAAACTGGAAAAGTCTTTTCTTCTTATCCTGATCTGTTATATTATAAAATTGTAGTGAATTGCTGTTGATCACAAAATTTAAACACCAGCAATTTGCAATACACTTCTAATAATTTCTGGGTTTTTTTGTCGTGTCAGGAGCGACTTGAGAAACTGCAAGTCACTTCTGGTGTAAGAGAATTGGCCGCCTGCAAGGACATTGCCCAGGGGATGCCCGGATGTTCTGATGTGTTACCATCCTTGTGGGAGGCTTCTCTCATGTTTCCGCATGAGGTGCTGGAGCTGATAGAGGGAGCTCAACCAGGCTCTCCCTGGATTCAAACTTCGACCTGTGGGCCTTCAGTCCTGCAGGCACAGGGGTTTCACCCACTGTGCCACCAGGGTTCCATAATTTCTGTACTTTGTGCCCTTAGTCTTCGTATTGAGATTTCTGAATTCACGATAACATGTAAGTGAATAATTTTATAAGTAAATAATGCTGAAAATGAGATTATTAGTAAAAAAAAAAACCCTCTCAAACAAAATACTGTAACAACCAGCACCAGTTATTGACAATTGTTGCTATGGCCACGTGGGCTGGTCAGATTGCAAAAGCTGGATCTAAAGATATTAGAAGTCTTACAGTTTCCTAGTATTCAGATAGAAAAATAGTCCTTAACTATGCATCTAAGAAGACATTCAAGCTACACTCACTGTCATATTCTTGCAGTAGTTCCACTGCTGTCAAAAGAACAGCTCTGTGTTCTGGATCACAAATGTTAAGCTCATCCAAGTCTTCTTCCTCTAGGAGCTTGAAAGTGTCTAAGTCTTCATAGCCATTGAACAGAAAGGTGGGCATATGCTCCTATCACAACAAAAGACAATAATGCTGATGATCTTATACATTTAGAATACATTTTCCATATATTATGGCTTGATGCTGCCCAGTTATGGTTGGGATAAAGTCATTCACTGATTGTTTACAATGTTTGAAGAATAAACAGTAGTACAATCAAACCTGTACTACTGGTTCCACTCTCCATTTTTAAACAGCTTTTATGGCTTGGCTACACTTTGAAGACATGTATAGCAGCAACTATGACATTCAGGTTGGGCTTTAGCAATGCAATTTAGGAATTTAACTTTTGCTGTGTTAAATCTACTTAATGTTCCCTTGAAGGTTAAGCAGATGTAAGTTGGTACATAATCTATGTACAAACTCACATGCACAGAGAAGCTAGGGAATAAGTAAGCTTTGCAAATGCTAAGCAGGTGGTACGGGGTTGCAGATGGATAGTTCAATGCCATCTGCTGAAAGAGGCTCTTCTTCAGACTACAGTCCTGCTCCTTTTAAAGATTCAGCTACAGTGAAAACAGTAGGTGATCATACAGCTGCTGTGGCATCTGCTGATGGAGAGGACCGCTCCAAGAAGACAATGAAGAACAAATGTATTCTGGGAACCTACTACCAAACAATCAAAAATTGTACAAACTCAGATAATTTTCCCTTTCAAAAACACCAGTGAAATAAAACGAGAAAAGGGAAGCATAGTCACAAAATGAAACTGCAGGGCACAATATATTAAATAGAAAACATAGTTCCCTCTTCACCCATTTATGCATCTTATCCGAGGAAAAAATAATAATTTCGAGCTCAAATGCTCCTCACTCACTTTTGCAGATTTTTTAAAAAAGCAAACATCTTAAAAGCACAGCCAAAGGTAGGCAACAAGCAAAAGTAAATCTACATTTGGAAGAACATACATTGCACATTCCTATCCAAATATAGTAAAGGTAAAGGTTTCCCTTGACATTAATTTTAGTCATGTCCAACTCTGGGGAGTGGAGCTCATCTCCATTTCTAGGTCAAAGATCCACCATAGACACCTCCTAGGTCATGTGGCCAGCATGACTGCATGGAGTGCCATTACCTTCCTACAGAAGTGGTACCTATTGATCTACTCACATTTGCATGCTTTCAAACTGCTAGGTTGGCAGAAGCTGGACCTAACAGCCGGAGCTCACCCTACTCCCTGGATTCGAATTGCCAACCTTTCGGTCAGCAAGTTCAGCAGCTCAGTGATTTAACCCACGGAACCACCAGCGGGCCCTACAGATCTAATCTGTATGAAACATTTAGTAAGTAAAAAAGAAGAGGCTTTGCAACAGTTTCTCCCTGCTCCCTCCCCTTAGCTTTTTGATTGGATAAGTTATATAGTGAGGAAGACATGAGCCATTTGTTGCACAACATGGGTAGCGACAAAATAGCATACTTTACATGTTATGGAGAAATGCTTTTCAGGAATTAATGAATGGATAAAAGGAGTGTGGGCAGAAAAAACAAGGCTGATAATGATGTACTAGAGGTTTGTTTTTTTTTAAGCAAAAGAGAATACACATCTCCAAGCTCCGGAATAAAATGACTACATGGGGTATGTCTCTCAACAGAAATTTCAGTGACAACTTCTTATTTTCCAGCTGGGAGCTTGGTTGTTAGGAATTGTTCTGTTCAAGCAGCTTGATGGCCAGTGCAGAATGCAAAAGTACTTTGGGGGAAACATTAGCTTGTTCCTCAATGGATAGTTGTCATTTTGACTCTTTGGAGGAACTTCCTCCCATCCTCTCTGTTTCCTCAATCTACTCCCAAGAGCACTTAGATTTGAGGACTCTCTGAACTTTCTTGCTCCAGTTCTATAGACTTTTTCTTTGTCCTAGATTTCATATAGTCCAAATTTTATTCTTGACCTTCTTAAAAGCCATCCTTGATCTTGGCTAAAATCTGAGCTGCTATGGTCCTAAACAGAAAAAAAGCTAGCTATGTTACATTTTATCCTTATGGAGACACTTAATGGTTTTACAAATAAGAGCTCTAAAAACAAAACAATCACATACAATAAAATGTTTCCCTGTAGAAAAATTCAACAATAACATTCAGTCCAGTTGGCACTTGGAGAATTGGGAAGTTAAACAAGTGCAGTTTTTTTTTACTTATTATAAAAAGATGTAGCAGTTTAGCAAAGAAAAGAAGTTAAATAATCTGAGGATGTCCACAGAGTTTCAGCTGCTGGCCCTGCTGTCTTCCTGAACCTGAATTAATCTTCCTGCTGTTGAGTTTATCTTTCAAAATGATTTTTCTAAAAAGGCTGCTCCAAAAGCAAAACTGGAGGAAGAATAAAACAGCAGGCACTACAACTTATTTCCAAATTGCCTGATATTGAACATGAAGAACACAAAGTAAATAACCATTTCCTGACCAAAATACATCCCAATATATCCAGACTGAGATAGCTGTGAACATAGGTCCCATGAAAATCTATGAGACGAATTAGATAGGACTGAATTAAATCAATTTATTTCAATGGGACCTTCGTTTGGATCAAGTCATTGTATGCTGCTCTCACTGTATACAAGCCTTGCCGAATGTTTTAGCAAATACTTAATACTCCAAGTTAAACCTAGAATAGAGTTTTTCAAATTTAGTACAAAAAAAATGCAAACCATAAAGATACAAATCCAACCTATCTCAACACATTCAAAGTATTTTCTGGAAACATTTTTGTTTTGAACTTCAGCAAATGTTCAAACGAGGGAAATACCACAATGCCCTAATTGCAAGCAAAATCTTGTCCCTTCATTTTAAATGAAATGGTGTATAAGTACAGCTGATCTGCACATTTAAAAGGTGTATAAATTTAAGTTACTTATTATATTGACAAGGTGTTTAGGTATCCATAATAAAGGAATAAAGTGAGTATTACTAAACGGAGGCCAACCTTCAAGTTGATGCGATCCAGAAGGTCTTCAACAGATTTGGGCTGAGGTGGTCTTCCCTTCCGACGCCTTCTAGTGGGCCTTTTGGGCTTCTCTTCCTCTTCATTTAACACATCAACATAGATAAACTTGAAAGTACCCACTTTATTGTTCAATAGACCCATCCAGGTGCCCATTGGCGGCTTGCTAATTATATCAATGATATCTCCCTTCTGTAGGTGAGAGAAAGCAAAAATATATGTTTGAGAAGCCCATAGGAATCTGCAAATAATTACATCAATCTTAAAAATGATTATGACTTAACACTGGCATCTCGAATAGAAGAGAATATCAGTTCTTTATGGGTCGAAACATTAAGCTTATCAGTTTTCCTTTAAAAAATAAAACTCGACAATGCAGAATTGACTTATCTACATAATATGTTAGAACCACAATGTTTATAAAACAAAGTACTTCTGATGTAATCTTCTATATACAGAATATTTGGAGATGCATACTGTATGTACCCAATTTTTGACTAACAATTATTTCAACGACCTAATGCTAGAACTAAATCTCTATTCTTTTTGCTGATTTTTGAAATAATTAAGTAGAACAGAAATGAATTTGCAATACAAACTTCCAGTTTTGAGATAACTTAAGAGTGAGCTTTCCTGGTATTTAAAGAAACAACCTCTCTACCCTGGGTCATCAGAAGAATTCTCAGCATCACAATTATTTCAAAATACCAACTACTGCTTGACTATCAGGATATCAGACATAGGGAGAGGCAAGTTTCATCATGGTCTACACACAAGAAGCAGAGCGACCATGAGCATTTAGGCTCTGCCACCTTCCACCATTATTTTCATGTATTCTTTAGTTAAATAATCAAAAACGATTAACGATTCTGAGAAAAGTACAATAGCACACACTAGGAAATACAGGGTAAAAAACCCCCACTTTGCTTGGATGTTTCTGTGGGTAATATACCCAAATTAAAAGTGGCACTAAAACCAAAATAAAATACCTTGAGTTTTAGAGAATCAGTATCATATGGGCTGGGGGTAAAATCAGTGTGAACCCTGGCCCGCCCACAAAATGGCCCTCTGTATGGAAGTTCTTCGTCATCCCCATCTTCAGACTTGACGCTTTCTCTGTTGCTGGCTGAGGAGTCTGTGGTGCTCACTGTCTGCCCACCTGTTTCCAATATAAAAAGGGAAGAATTGAAAGTGTGCACATAGACAGACACCATCCTATACATTAAACGAGCTAGAAGCATTTTGATAGTTAATAGTATTTCTGCCAAAATTATAGGTAAGACAAGATAGGAAACACAAAAAGTTTCAAGCTTTTCTTGTTTTTGGTATTTTTAAATACTAGTTTTAAAAAGTGACCTACATTTACTAGCTCCCAAGGAATCCCTCTCCTCATATACTGTTTGCCACATTACAAGCTTTCTTAGCATAGGCAGAAAGAAAATCCAACAAAAAATATATCAAGCTGAAATCTCTCTTATTTTCTCAAGTCTTTTAAATCTGCCTTCAATAAGCTCTTGACTGCTGGGCTCATTGGGACTTAACGTATGTATTCCCTCTCCTAACATGAAGCAAAGGTGGTAAGAGACCATCAGTTAGATCTGGCAAACTAAACCAAATTCCTGGTTCCAGTGGAACTTGTATAAATGTCGATTATCATGTTTCTACTCTAACTGGAACTAACAAATACATTTGGATCAGCAAAAGTGCACTTGGCAAAGATGGCTAGGGTCCAGGTGATCTGCCACTCTGCCACCTGAATCTGCTATATTTAATACCCTCAGATTAGGATATTGGAGATGTTTTAGGACTACTTTCACCTCTGCATTCTGGCTGTGATGGTGAGTGGGAAGGTTTTGGAACTGATATAATACACATATTCCCTGCCCTGCTCCTTCAACAGCTCTTTTGCTGTCTAATACTAATAGACTGTTCTATGAGACTACATTTGATCTGGGATGAATACAAGGATTAAGAATGAACCCACCACCTTTGTGTGGGCCAATTTCATGATGCTTTTGCTCCTGGTGGTTGTTTCAGGCCCAGGAGAGACTTTTTAAATATAGGAAATCAACTAGAAGTTGACGTTCTTTTTAAGGAAATGAACTAGAAGTTGATGTCCTAATTCTAAAACGGTTGGATGAGGGTGGGACAAAAACATGGCAAAACTATCCCCCTCTGTCCCTCAGAATTGACCCCCCCTAAGCACTCATAAAGAACCAGTGGAGTGCACAATATTTGCTCATCTGGCTTAATAATCACATTAGATCAATTCATCTAAACTTGGTGGTGTTGAACATCCTGATTATTACTTACTCATTGAGCTCTGGCCACTTAGGGAGCTTCTCAGGCTCTCTACTGAACCCCCAGCTTTTAATTTGGGTTTGTCCAGAGAATCGGTATCTGGCTGCGGTGACTGCGGAGATTGTGGCATGACCTCCAGGTTGGAGTCCTGGAAGAAAATTAACGTATCAGTTATCTTTTGGCTGTAAATTGTGCATGATACAGCAACCATAAATCACAATGATACATTTCAAATACCAATATGGGCTTTCCTTATCCTTGTGTTAAAATACTTTCTGTCAAATCAGGCAAGAAAGTAAAAGACTCATTTGATGGGTTTTTATTTATTTTGTGTCAAAACCATTGCATAAATAAGTATAAAAATGATAAAAAACAAAGGGAACACAAGTGGTTAAATAATTTTTGACCAAAAACGGGCAATAGTGACTGCATTGTCCGTAGCTTTAAACAATTCTTCCTCTGTGCATGAGGTAGGGCATTGTAGACAAGCATACATATGCAAGGTTGTTTGTTCTGCTCCACAGTTGCACAAAGGGGAAGATTCTTCTAGGTAGTGCCATTTTGCCATGTTGTCTTTTGATCTGCCCTTTCTACCTCTGAATCTGTCCAGGGACTTCCAGGGTGCCTGTTCTTGATTTGTCCTTGGAGGCAGACCCTCGTGGGAGGCCACCCAGTTGGAATTTCCTGATTTAGCTGACCAGAGGGATATTCTTGCTGTTGCTGGGGGAACATTAAGAGGAGTGATGGTTCTCATGAAGCTTTTCCTTGATTTGAGTCTACTTGGAGGAGGCTGATGGTCATGCAGAGGATAGCTTTCACAGTGTTCAATCTTATTTGATGGTAGTACGAATTATATTTATTTGTGATTTTGCTGTTTTATTGTGTCTTATAAAGTTAAAATATATCCAGTCAAACCAGGCAAGAAAGTATAAGACTAATTTGACTGTAATACCAATTATATTTAGTATTTACTTGTGATATTGCTCTTTTATTATGTCTTATGTGTAATTTGCTGAAGATGGATAGAAAAAAGTTAAGACACTGTAAATGAAACGGCAGATAGAGTCACAGAACTATTACAGCTTGGATTGAATAACTAGCACATTCTTTTTTACATAGTGTTAAACTGAATTAAACTGTCAGTGCAACTCAGTTATGAAATTTGTAAACAAAGCAAAAATATTTTACATAAAAGGTAATGGGCACTTTCCCTCATTCCTTCATTCAAGGAACAAGACAGATTCAAAATATCTGGGAACTATCTTAATCTCTTTATGTTCATATGTGGATGCGGTGTGCACGTATTCTGGTAGCAAATACTGTAAAGCATTTGCAGTTGAAATATTACAATGCATGAAAATAAGACGAGACAATATCTGAGTCTATCTGCGGTGAGAAATTAAAATAAACCTGCTGATATACAAGAATTGCTGCATATTCCACAGGCATGCAATCACAAACCATTTGAATAAAGCCTGTTATTTACTTGCTGCCGAGTCATCAGGAAACAGATTCCCACAAATCAAGCAAATTTCTAGAGAGAATTTGAGAAGCAAAGCCACAGATTGCTAATAGGAAAGGGCTTTCCATTTTTCCTAATGTCTGTACGTCTTGTATTCCAGTCTTAAGCACTTTTGCCACTGGTATCTTACATATGTCCATGAACTGAATCTTACTAAATCAGATACTGAAATGGAAAATGCCTTAAATTGTGGGCAAATGAAGTCCCAGGATAGGGTCATAAAAACAAGTATTCTACGGCCATCCTATTTATTTCACAGGTCCTATTTATTTCACAGGAGCCCCTGGTGGCGCAGTGGGTTAAAGCGCTGAGCTGCTAAGCTTGTTGACTGAAAGGTTGCAAGTTCGATTCCAGGGAGCGGTGTGAGCTTCCGCTGTCAGCCCCAGCTTCTGCCAACCTAGCAGTTCAAAAACATGCAAATGTGAGTAGATCAATAGGTACCGCTCCAGCGGGAAGGTAACGGCGATCCATGCAGTCATGCCGGTCTACGGACAACGCCGGCTCTTCGGCTTAGAAATGGAAATGAGCACCATACTCCAGAGTTGGGCACGACTGGACTTAATGTCAGGAGAAAACCATTACCTTTGCCTAAAGTCAGTTACAAAATGAAGAGGATGCTTATAGATGGATTGTGTGGTAACCTCCACAAATGGGGCATAGCTCACTATGTTTTAAAAGAATGGGACACATCTGGTTCATTTTGTATAAATACAGTTTTATGTTTCTTTCTTTGTAATTGTGGGGAAGTATGGTAAACAGGATAATAATAATCATAAACATAATCATCTTTATTTATACCCCGCCACCATCTCCCCAACGGGGACTCGGGGCGGCTTACATGAGGCCAAGCCCAACAACACATTACAATAAAATAAAACCAACGCATAAAACAACAACACAATAAAATACATAAAACATGAGAATACAGTAAATAATATAAAATACAATAAAGGTCATTCACAATCCCAGTGACAGTAAGCGGGCCACTAATACTAAAAACTCAGGGTGAGATAGGAATTGAGCAGATTATTTGTGAGGGAGAGCACATAAAAACAGGGTCGTAGAAACAGGCCTTCATACAAGCCGGGGTGGGTGGGTAGTGTATTGCCTGTGCAAATAAAATGCAGAGCACCCCATGAAGAACTGGGTCTGGCAATGCCATCATTGGTTTTAAGACTCAATTCTGAAATGCTCATTGGACTTGCTGTGACCCTAAATTAAACCAAAGAAAGTTATCTGTAATATTCTAACATCTCTTTAGATCATATTGGGTTTTCCAGGCTATTTTTCAGTACAGAACACGGAGCAAAATACAATGGGCCATTACAAGGGCAGATGGGTTTACTTTGCTCTTCTTTGACTAATAACAACAGGATTGTTCCTAGTTGTATGAATCTATGTTATGAGGAATGCCATTTGCAAGTATTTGGCTGTGTTAACAATGTTGCTTGGTTTTTTCGTCTAGTACTGGAGTTTAGTACCAGTCTAATCCAGCAGACCTGAGCCATGGACGATGATTGTTCTAACATGTCAGCATCAGTGAGAAACACAACAGACAATGCTATTTTCATTCCAGGGGACTGACACAATTGGGGACATGAGAGTAAATCACAATAGACTTTATCTGGACAGATAATACCAATTGCCTCATATCTGTGCAGAGACACAGGCATATTCTTTATTTGGTGCAGCAAATGACAAGACAGTGAACAAACAGGCATCCAAGAGCTACCTCGGAATATTTTTGGCTTGAACTCCGTTTCATGTCATTGGAGATAAGAACAGAGAGAGTAAAAGGCAAGGACCAGATACCCAGATTTGTCATGAGAATATAATTCCAACTGCTTTCTTAGGATATAAAGATAAATGCATGCTGTGATACACTTCTTTATCAATGACCAGCTTTCATCCCCTGAATATTTAGTAACGGTGCAGTGTTTCTTCCTGATTATACAACTGTCCTCTAGAGGGCGATATTTCATCAATGGAAAGCCCTGCAGATATGCCAATGCTTATGGTTGCCTGCCAGAGATTACTTGTTAGGCATATAGCTCAAGTGGAAAGACTGATGAAAAAACAAAAATAAAAAAGTGCTGGGTATTTTGACAACCCACCAAACCAAATTGAATGAAACCTGCCAAATGCAACATGCTTGGAAAAATAGAATTTAGCCAAAGAAAACTGAAAGTGCAGCTGTAAAATAATACACTTTCACAATTCATTTTAAGGGCTCATTATATGGAACTCTGCAGTGAAGCAATAAAATACAGAATAGAAATCCATCCGATGAGACACCATGTCCATATGCTGGACAAAACAGATTTTAGGCTTACAGACAAAACTGCTTTTTTGCCCTATGTATAGTTACTGTTGATGGTGACTTGATAAGAGGCCTTTGTGTCTCAGAAACACAACAAAAAGATACTCAGCTCTACTCAGTAATGGATTCCCACAGTTGAAAATAACCTCCCTGTCCATATTTTTAATAGATTACTATTAATAGGATAAACATTCCAGTAATATTTGAATGGTCACCTCTATTTTTAATCTGTGAAGATTATTTTTTCTGTGAACACTTCCTTATTCTCAAACACTGAAGAACAGAATAGGACACTATTCATTTTCAGTGGAAGTTATTTGCAGGATTTGTTGCTGAGGCCAACATAGGAAAAAGTAATACCGTGCAGAGATTCCTTCAAAGAAAAACAACTGAGAGTCCCTTTCTTCTAGCTACTAAGTCTCATTGTTGAGCTCAATGGTAGGAGAAAAAGCAGGAACCTTTCCTTCAGTTTAGATCTAGCACCATGACCTACTAGATTATTGCCTATCATGTGAAAGATTTTGGGGAACAGGCTAACCAAGTGAAGAGAGTTCATGAGTAATGTGCAAGTTCCAAAGTCTTTTCAGTCTCAAAGAAAGGTATCCAAACTTGAGGAATTTGTCCACCAAAGGCAGGAAGCCAGGGTGGGAATGTGGAAAACCATCAAAGCTGGGAAAAGCTTTCCTGGACAGCTGTTGGTCTCACTTGATTCTCCTCTCATTAAAAACAATACAATTTAATGGGCCATTTTAGGTTTTTAGGGCTGTATGACTATGTTCTAGAAGCATTCTCTCCTGACGTTTCACCTGCATCTATGGCAGGCATCCTCAGAGATTGTGAGGTCTGTTGGAATCTAGGAAAATAGGCTTTATATATCTGTGGAAAGTCCAGGGTGGGAGAAAAAACTTTCATCTGTTGGAGCTAGGTGTGAATGTTTCAACTGCCACCTTGATTAGCATTTGATGTCCTAACAGTTTTTAGGTGTGTCCTGTTACTGCCTGGGGGAATTCTTTGTTGAGAGGTGATTAGTTGTTCCTGTTTGTTTCTTCTCTGGAGTTCCCCTGTGTTTGAGTTTTGTTCTTTAGGCCATCAAATGCTAAGCAAGGGGGCCCTTTCACACTACCTTGCAATTACTCCACTTAAGCTGCCGTGGTTGCATCCTGTGGAGTCCTGGGGTTTCTGGCTGTGAATTCTACGTGCTGCTCCATAAACTGCAAATCCCAGGATTCCATAGGATGGAACCATGGCAGTAAAAAAGAACCATAGAACTGTGAATATATAGTTCAGAAGTGGGCAACTGTGAAAAGCCCATCAAATGTATTACACCATGGAGGGGTACACTCCTGCAAAAGAATTAAAATGCTACAAAATTCTCCCAAATGCTCTCTATGTTTTTACCTCTCTCTCCTACATGTTTTAGGTCCAAGAAAATGCCCCGTGGGGGTAGGGCATACAAGACCCACAGGATGCATTTTGCCCATCTCTGATGCAGTATGAGAAGCTTCAGGACTAGAAGCATTGTGCAGGTGGGACTGTGGCCAGGAACACCTCTGAATCAACTACCTGTAGCTATACAGGTCTTCCTGGCCATAGCTCCTACCTGCACAATGCTTCTAGTCCTGAAGCTTTTCATACTGCATCAGAGATAGGCAAAATCCTCCAAAATCCAAAATCACCCACAGGGTGGTGGTGGTGGTGGTGGTTATTATTATTATTATTATTATTATTATTATTATTATTATTATTAAAGCCTATAATAGAGGCTTTAGTTATATCCAGGCTACATTGCTGCAACACATCCCCTTTGAATTTTAGAATAAAATAGAGTAATTTTATTGTCATTGTACATTGTACAATGAAATTAAATGCCATCCCCAGTCACATTATATATGCAGAATTTCAAAACAAAACACCTTCCCTTCCATGTTTGAATCCCTGTTGCACAACACCTAATGCCACATCAGTGTGAAATCATAGAGTTCAATATAGTCATAGCTCTAGGATAAAAGCTACTCCTCAGTCTATTTGTTCTTGTTTTTATCATCCTATACTGTTTGCTAGATGGTAGTAATTAAAAAAGAATAAATAAAAGACTTGCTTTTATTGAAAGCTCAGCGAGTAAATATAGGATGAGCATCCCTTTTCCAGAATGGTTGGAGCCATGAATATTTTGGATTTACATTTAATTTTTTTGAATATCTATGTTTGCATATACCTACATAATGAAATATCTTGAACATGAGATTCTAAACATGAAATTCATATGCGTTTCAGATATACTTTAAATCCATATAGCCCGTGAATAATGGTAAACACAATATTATTAATAATTTTGTGCATGAAACAAAGTTTGTGTACTCTGAACCATTAGAAAGTAAAGGTTTTGATCTCAGCCATGTATGTGGGTGATTTTGGATTTTGGAGGATTTTGTAAATCTGAAGAAGGGATGCTCAACCTGTAAATGGAGAATGCCATTATCTGAAGGCATTGAAAATAGATTACAATTAGAGCATTCCCTCCCGAGGGAAAAATCTCTCTCCTTGGAGATGTGCCAGTGGCAGACAAAGATCTTTTCTTTAAGGCTGGCTTCTGGCAACTAACTGACAATAAGGGCAGAATGTGGTGGTGGGGAGGGGAGGGGACTTTCATCTCAGATTTGCTTTGAAATTGTACTTCCTTTGGTTATTGTTCTAATAGACTATGGAATCATGTTCTTCTAATATTGTTTTTAAATGTATATTTCTTATTTAATTTATTTGTATCTATCAGTTCTACTTCCAAGAATGACCATCTACAGTTGGAAAATATTCCCCCCAAATTTCCAAAAGGTAAACCTTTTGTTATTTTATATATTTACTACACCATTGTATCATTAATGGGTTTTGGTATTCACGGGACTCCTGAACCAAACCCCAAAGGATACCAAGAGTCCCTTCTTTAAGGAAAAACGAAAGTATAAAAATAAATACCTTATACTACTTACACCAACAAAATTGTTTGAAAGCACAGTATTCTTACTATCACCCCCCCTTCCCTTGAAAATGTATCGCTCAACCAATCTTAGTATGGCTATGATACAAATGATCTGTTGAAAGCTACATAATAATAACAATAACAATAACAACAGCCCTTTATTTGGGTTGTGGTAGGTTTTTCAGGTTTTATAGCCATGTTCTAGAAGCGTTCTCTCCTGACGTTTCGCCTGCATCTATGGCAGGCATCCTCAGAGATTGTGAGACCTCACAATCTCTGAGGATGCCTGCCAAAAATGCAGGCGAAACCTCAGGAGAGAATGCTTCTAGAACATGGCTATACAGCCTGAAAAACCTACAACAATCCAGTGATTCCAGCCATGAAAGCCTTCGATAACCCTTCATTTATATCCTGCCATCATCTCCCAAAAGGGACTCGGGGCGGCTTACAAGGCACTACAAGTGTACTATATAACATAAACAATACATGAGTTTAAACACAATACCACATAAAAGTTATAAACACAACCACTATTAACACATAAAATAAAAACAGTTTAAAATGCAATAATGCAGTCATTTAAGGAAATATATTACTTAAATGAATGCATGTTATTTATAGTAATTAGTGAGATTTTGCAACACAAGATGATTAAAAAAACACGATATTGAAATTATATAAACAAGTGTATATCCTACAAGCAATTGAATAAATTGAGTTCCTAGTTTTTATGTGATTTTCTTCCCCTTTCTTCTGAACATTAGCCAACCAGGTCACTTGAGCACCAGCTTTGGACACATTTCTAGCTGGTTTGGGAGGACAGTAGGGAAGTTAAGTCTTTCTTTACAAATTTCTCTGGAATTACCCATTCTAGCAACATTACGTCCAGCATTGCATATTGACTCATGCAAGACTTTTCACTATGAGCAGATAATTGGTCAAGGACAATTTCTACCACATTGTGTGCATTTATACTTTAAGACAAAGTGCTATTTGTGGCTCCATGAGGGAGAAGAAATATTTTAAGTGGAAAAATAATTAGAACATAGAAAACTTTTGAAAGCAAACATGTTATAAATTTGTAATTTGATTTTCTATAAAGTGGACTAAGTGATTGTTGAAAGAAACGCAAAGCTTTGAAATTCTGAACAGGTACCAAGAAGTAACTTTGACATTGTTGAAGGAAGTATATAAAGCTATTCATTGTTCTTAGTTCTGTGAACAACCAGGCAAATATGGAATGAAATCATATACTTTATTGGCCTAACTCAATCCTAACCTCTTTTTATGATTTCATTGAAGTTCTTTTCACTGTAAATAGTTTTGAAAAGCTGTTGGAATTGCTTTACTACAGAATACCCTTGGGGAGTTTCTATACTTTCTATAGTTATGCTGTAGCTCAATGATGTCTCAAATCATAGCTATAAAGAATGAGTATTTACAGTGGAAGGTAAAGCATCCAGCAGTTTCATTTAAAGCAAACGAGCATATGAACAAACTTGCATACCTGCTCTGCCAAGGAGCTGCTGTATTTTTTAGACATCCTTTTCCTCATGGTCTCTTTTACAGATTTCACCTTTTTACCAAGGGATATACGAGAAGTCGAAGGGGATTTGATCACTTCTTTGTAAATAAATTCACCATCTTTCTCCTGTAAAATGAAAGGAAAGTCAAGTAAACACTGTCAGCCTTCAGTATCTTAAGAGCCCCAGAACAAATGCAAAAAAGAGACCACAGATGAAATGGACTTTTGCTTGCCTTTCATAAGACTTCACAAAAACACAGCATCTGCTTCTGCTAAAGTGTTTTCTGTAATATCCCCATGGATCATTTCATGGGGGAAATGATATCAGTGCTTCTAACCTGTGTGCGAATGATGGCCTCATTTATGAAGTCGTGATTGCTTATGAAGCTGTATAAGATTGCTTTTCACTTTCCCTTTCCCTCTTCTCTGCACATGCTTGCCTGAGTTTCCTAGCACAGCCATACTTTGCAATAAATCAGAGGCACATTTGAACTACAGTCTTATGGCACTTGTGACTCCACTTTAATTGCCACATAAGCCTCCTGTGTTAATCTGGTGTTGGTATCTGTCCTTCTCTAAAAAATTTTTTTAAAAGTGTACTAAATTATCATTCCTTGCATACAAAAATATATTGATATCAAGAAGGTGAAAGAAGCAGCTGAATTTCTGAATTAAGCCTACAGAATCAATAAAGTATTTAAAATAAAGAAGAAAGGGCAAGAAAGATATAAAGAATCAGTTGAAATGCAGCAAGATCCTTTATGGCAGTGGTTCCCAATCTGTAGATCTCCAGTGTTTTGGCCTACAACTCCCAGCCAGTTTACCAGCTGTTAGGATTTCTGGGAGTTGAAGGTCAAAATATTTGGGGATGCATAGGCTGAGAACTGCTGCTTTATGGACTATTAGAAAACTAACTGTGTTATATCAAGTCTGGGTCTATGCAACTCACCACTCCAATGGTACAAATGGCAATCTGGATACTTCCAGAAAGTCACAAAAGGCAACCAGTCCAGTAGACTCAAGTGCCTTGAAATAAAGAGATTCTGTTCTGTTACCATAGATAATAATGACAAGCGCATCATCTGGGAATCTGCCTAATCCTTTTAAAAAGGTACCAAAGATAGTGGCCATTGCTTGTAACAGTGAATTCTACAAGTTAATGCACTTCTGTTTGTCAAGAACCTACCGCAGCTCAATTTCACCGAATAATCTTGAGTTCCAAGAAGAAAAGAGAAGAATAACAGTTAGGAGGGTTCGGTCCTGGGCCCAGTACTGTTCAATACCTTTATTAATGAAGGTTTAAAGGGTATGCTTATCAGGGGAGATAAAGGGGGGTATGATAATAATAATGACGACAATGACGATGATGATGACACCAAGTTAAATGAGATAGCTAATACTCCAGAGGACAAGATCAAAATTCAAAATGACCGTATCAGATTAGAGAGCTGGGCCAAAAATAACAAAAAGAATTTCAACAAGGACAGATGTGAGATGTTTAAGCAGAAAAAATGAAATGCGAAAATACAGGATGGGCCCGACACCTGTACATGTGAAAAAGGTCTTGTACTCTTCATGGACAACAAGTTGAACATGAGTCAACAGTGTGATGCAGCAACTAAAAAAGCTAATGGGATTTTGGGCTGCATCAAAAGGAATATAATGTCTAGATCAAGGGAAGTCATGATGCTTCTCTATTCTGCTTTGGTTAGACTTCACCTGGAATACTGTGTCCAATTCTGGGCATCACAGTTCAAAAGAGATATTGACAAGCTGGAAGGTGTCCAGAGGAGGGTAACTAAAATGATCAAGGGTTTGGAGACCATGCCCTATGAGGAGTGTCTTAAAGAACTGGGTATTTTTAGCTTTCAGAAGAGAAGGTTCCTGCAAACCTTAAAACTAGGACTCGGAGCAGTGGGTTCAAATTACAGGAAAGTCGATTCCACCTGAAAATTAGGAAGAACTTCCTGACCGTACAAGCTGTTCAACAGTGGAACTTTCTGCCTTGGAGTGTGGTGAAAGCTCCTTCCTTGGAAACTTTTAAACAGAGGCTAGATGGCCATCCTCCAGCAAAGGATCACCGCCTTGTCGGGGCGCTGGAGCTTGAGCACCTCAATGATGTCATGAGCGAAACCGTGAAGGGCCACCCAAGACGGGACGGTTGTGGCAGAGAGGTCAGACCAAGCGTGATCCCTGGGGAAGGCAATGGCAAACCACTCCAGTATCCTTGCCAAGAAAACTAAATGGACCAGTACAACCAGAGATATGTCGTTATGCCATTTGAAGATGGGACTCCCAGGTCGGAAGATGGCCAAAATGCTACTGGGGAGGAGCAGAGGATAAGTTCAACTAGCCCCAGATGTGATGACGCAGCTAGCTCAAAGCCGAAAGGAAGGCTAGCGGCCGACGGTACTGGAGGTGAACGACGAATCCGATGCTCTAAAGATCAACACACCATAGGAACCTAGAATGTAAGATCTATGAGCCAGGGCAAATTGGATGTTGTTATTGGTGAGATGTCAAGACTAAAGATAGACATTCTGGGGGTCAGCGAACTGAAATGGACTGGAATGGGCCACTTCACATCAGATGACCACCAGATCTACTACTGCGGACAAGAGGAACATCGAAGAACTGGAGTAGCCTTCATAATTAATAAGAAATTCGCTAAAGCGGTGCTTGGATACAACCCAAAAAATGACAGAATGATCTCAATTCGAGTGCAAGGAAAGCCTTTCAACATTTCAGTGATCCAAATATACGCCCCAACCACAGCTGCTGAAGCAGAAGTAGATCAGTTCTATGAGGATCTGCAGCACCTACTGGATAATACACTAAAAAGAGACATTATTTTCATTACAGAGACTGGAATGCCAAGGTGGGAAGTCAAATGACAACAGGGATCACAGGCAAGCATGGTCTGGGACAACAAAATGAAGCGGGACGCAGGCTGATAGAATTTTGCCAGGAAAACTCGCTGTGTATAACACTCTCTTCCAACAACCTAAAAGACGGCTTTATACATGGACCTCACCAGATGGTCAACACCGAAATCAGATTGACTACATCCTTTGCAGCCAAAGGTGGCGGACATCCATCCAGTCGGTGAAAACAAGACCTGGGGCTGACTGTAGCTCAGATCACGAACTTCTTATTGCCAATTTAGAATAAAACTAAAGAGATCAGGGAAAATACACAGACCAGTTAGATATGATCTCACTAACATTCCTAGCGAATATACAGTGGAAGTGAAGAACAGATTTGAGGACTAGATTTAGTAAACAGAGTCCCAGAAGAACTATGGACAGAAGTCCGCGACATTGTTCAGGAGGCGGCAACAAAGTACGTCCCAAAGAAAAAGAAAACCAAGAAGGCAAAATGGTTGTCTGCTGAGACACTGGAAGTAGCCCAAGAAAGGAGGAAAGCAAAAGGAAACAGGATAAGGGGAGATATGCCCAGTAAAATGCGCAATTCCAGAGGTTAGCCAGAAGAGATAAGGAACTATTTTTAAATAAGCAATGCATGGAAGTGGAAGAAGACAACAGAATAGGAAGGACAAGAGACCTCTTCCAGAAAATTAGAAACATTGGAGGTAAATTTCAGGCAAAAATTGACATGATAAGAAACAAAGATGGCAGGGACCTAACAGAAGATGAAGAGATCAAGAAGGTAGCAAGACTATACAGAAGATCTGTATAGGAAGGATAATAATATCAAGGATAGTTTTGACGGTGTGGTGAGCAAATTAGAACCAGACATCCTGAGAGTGAGGTTGAATGGGCCTTAAGAAGCATTGCTAACAACAAGGCAGCAGGAGACGACGGGATCCCAGCTGAACTGTTTAAAATCTTAAAAGATGATGCTGTCAAGGTGATGCATGCCATATGCCAGCAAATATGGAAAACACAAGAATGGCCATCAGACTGGAAAAAATCAACTTATATCCCCATACAAAAAAAGGGAAATGCGAAAGACTGCTCAAACTTCCGTACAGTGGCCCTTATTTCTCATGCCAGTAAGGTAATGCTCAAGATCCTGCAAGGAAGACTCCAGCAAGACGTGGAGAGAGAGTTGCCAGATGTTCAAGCTGGGTTTAGAAAAGGCAGAGGAACGAGAGACCAAATTGCCAATATCCGCTGGATAATGGAGAAAGGCAGGGAGTTTCAGAAAAACATCTACTTCTGCTTCATTGACTATTCTTAAGCCTTTGACTGTGTGGATCATAATAAATTGTGGCAAGTTCTTAGTGGGATGGGCATCCCAAGCCACCTTGTCTCTCTCCTGAGGAATCTGTACAAGGACCAAGTAGCAACAGTCAGAACTGACCACGGAACAACAGACTGGTTCACGATTGGGAAAGGCGTACGGCAAGGCTGCATACTCTCACCCAACCTTTTTAACTTGTATGCAGAACACATCATGCGATGTGCGGGGCTGGATGAATGCAAAGCTGGGGTGAAAATTGCTGGAAGAAACATTAACAACCTCAGATATGCAGATGACACCACTCTGATGGCCGAAAGTGAGGAGGAGCTGAGGAGCCTTCTAATCAAGGTGAAAGAAGAAAGCGCAAAAGCTGGGTTGCAGCTAAACATCAAAAAAACCAAGATTATGGCAACAAGAATGATTGACAACTGGAAAATAGAGGGAGAAAACGTGGAGGCCGTGACAGGCTTTGTATTTCTAGGTGCAAAGATTACTGCAGATGCAGACTGTGGCCAGGAAATCAGAAGACGCTTACTTCTTGGGAGGAGAGCAATGTCCAGTCTCGATAAAATAGTGAAGAGTAGAGACATCAGACTGGCAACAAAGATCCGCCTAGTCAAAGCCATGGTATTCCCTGTAGTCACCTACGGATGTGAGAGCTGGACCTTAGGGAAGGCTGAGCGAAGGAAGATCGATGCTTTTGAGCTGTGGTGTTGGAGGAAAGTGCTGAGAGTGCCTTGGACTGCGAGAAGATCCAACCAGTCCATCCTCCAGGAAATAAAGCCCGACTGCTCACTGGAGGGAACGATACTAGAGACAAAGTTGAAAGTACTTTGGCCACATCATGAGGAGACAGCAAAGCCTAGAGAAGACAATTATGCTGGGGAAAGTGGAAGGTAAAAGGAAGAGGGGCCGACCAAGGGCAAGATGGATGGATGGCATCCTTGAAGTGACTGGACTGACCTTGAGGGAGCTGGGGGTGGTGACGGCCGACAGGGAGCTCTGGCGTGGGCTGGTCCATGAGGTCACGAAGAGTCGGAGACGACTGAACGAATGAACAACAACAACAGATGGCCATCTGTCAGGGATACTTTGATTGTGCTTTTCCTGCATGGCAGGGGGTTGAACTAGATGCCCCATGTGGTCTCTTCCAACTTTATGGTACTTTGATTCTATGAGGAGTAGAGTTTATTTTTAAAGAGGAAAGACTCTTTTGTGAGTTCAGCCTGCTGCAGCTCCAGCTGCAGCTCACCACACCTCACCCTGGAAAGTCCAGCCATCTGTCCAATATTCCAGCTGGGAATTTTTCCGAACCATTTCCATCTCACACTCACACACTGTGTCAGCAGCTCAGGATTTCAAAGAGATTTGGATGTTTTCAGACAATAGGAGGATGCATTTCAGTAACAGAACTCTGGATTCAACTTGAATTTTGCCCCAGACTGCTCTCAACAAATGCCTTGTGTGAGTACAAAGCTAACTCCAGGAGTAGGAAAAACAGAAGCTTTAGAAGTCAAAAGTATACTCTATAGCAACAGTGGCGAACCTATGGCATACATACCAGAAGAGGTACACAGTATCCTCTCTACTGGCATGTGCGCTGTCACCTGCCCCCCCCCCCAAAATCTGACCCTGAATTTAACTGATTTTAACTGAGAATGCTCTCTTCATGCTTATTTACTATCCTCAGTGCTGTGTTATGCCTGAGTTATGTGAGGAATGCGGCTTTATTCAGTGGGTGGATATTTTTAAATGATGCGGAAGGGATGCTTCTCACTGATTTGATCCTCCCGGCCTGTATCCTGCCTGGCATGCAAAAGCCATGAATCACAAGTGTCAGAAGGGAGGAGACAGATGATTTCGGCCAGAGATCCCCATCTTCCTGGCATGTGCAGAAGAAAAGAAAATGGCTTGTGGTTTCCTAGGTAACACCTATTTTCACCTGTCCCCATGTTACATTTCCCAAGCGAGAGCGAAAATACACAAGTGCAAAATGATATCAAACAAATTAGAAAGCTCAGAAAAAAGATACTGCTTCTGAGCAGGCACAAGGTTGATTGTGATTTCAGATCTAATTATGAGATAAAGAAGAATCAAATTGTGCATTCCTGCTGCTTGCCAAACAGACTGCCAGTTTTTTTCCCTCCCTTGTGCTAAATCTTCAAAAAGAAGGTTTGCAGTGACATGGTAAAAATTGGAGGTCCCATATTGAGACTGGCCTGTCACTCAGAGAAACTTCCCAGCCAGTCGATATTAAAAAGATTACCCACTGAGCCTAAGCTTCTGCCTCCATACCGTAAACTGCCATTAAGTTTCTGTGTGGCTTAGAAAAAGGCAGGACTGATCCTGAACATTGTGCTGAACCTCTTTGAAAGTCAGATGTAAATGTCTTTTCTAAGCTCCAAAACAAGATCTGCCTCCTTATGTTAAAAACAGCTCTTTGCAGTGACAATACAATCATAATTCCATTTAATCTAAATGAACATTAGTGTACGTTACATTCAAAAAGTTTAGATCCAAACTGTATTTTCATAACAGACATTAATTTATTTTAGGTTGATGTTCTGACCAGCAATCTCAATTGTTATTATATGACATGCAGTTCACATGGATAGATAGTGTGTAGTGAAGTACATCTCAAAATAAGGTTCAAAATGTTGAGTTGTCAGCTCAGTTTGTATGAGCTGAAAACAGATGCTACTTTTCTGAACCTTAGAAATACTACCATGGGAATTAGCACTATATTATTAAGTCAGTATAAATGCCACTATCAGGATGCATAGTGGATACAAATAAGAAAATACAGGTAGTTTTGTATCTGAACCCGTATCTTATACTCACCATCTGATCCAAATTATTTCCAGTGTGCAGCGAGCGATTAGTCAAGTCAAAACCACCAAAGCTGCAGGTCCTCTGTGAAGTAAGAAAGAGATTTGTCAAACAGGCTACAAATAAACTGGAATGCATATGTTCCAAAATACACCACACAAAGAAATGAATTATTCAAATAATGATAAAAAGTAAAACATGATGAGAAACTTAAAAGATTCTGATGTTATATTCATGCGTCATCATGTTGCTTGTTTTAAAACCACTGAGTTTCACTTTTTAAAAAACCACTGGTTCAGGATGCTTCACAAATGAGTATCTGAAAAATTTCTGAAGGAATGCCATCTCATAATTGTTCCTAGCTCCACTTTTTGCTAAGGGGATACAAGAACAACATAAAAACTTTTTACGTAACTGAAATCTACATTGCACTGGAACAATTGTGGAAGCAAATAAAGTCCAGAATTTGAAGGAAGGGTTCTGCTTCTCTTATCAAAACCTCACCCTACTTCCCTCTGAAATCTCTATGGATTCTCAACATCTGATCAGTATAACTAGGGAACCACAAATGGAGTACTCTTTTTGGTCTCAAACAGAAGTGCAGAAGTCTGTATGTGTGTATAAGAAGTTTCTGACATAATGTGGTCATTTTAGACCAATCATCAAGAAACTCTATGTACCTATTGAAACATAGTAGGTCCGGGAAATCTCTCAGAAGATATCCTTAATTCTTCATCAAATCAGCTATTTCCCCTAACTTTTCCCTGGAAGGTAAATGAGTAAGGATCCAATTCTTGGAAAGCATTAGCTCCTTATTTCCCACCAAGGCCTCTATGATACAATGCAGCTTTGTTAATGCTACAAGAGAAAGTAGGTTATATTTAAAGAGGCACAATCTACCAGAATGAGTCATTTTCAGTTCATCAAGCCAAGCCAGAAATACCGATACTGTTAGCATTGATCGTAGTTTTGTCACCTACACATCAACATTTTATGGCACCCCTTTCTTATACAAATTTTTAAAAAGCACACTTGGTAAAGCTACATTTTCATAATTAGGCAGGAAATACTTGGGTCTTGCTCATAGCCCTCACTTATAAACATATGCAGGCAGTCCCCAAGTTATGAACAATATAGGTTCTGAAGGTTTGTTTTTAAGTTGAGTCTGTATGTAAGTTGGAAAAAGGACATTTCAAAAGTGTAACTCCAGCCAAATATATATATGGGGGGGGGGGTTTAGGGAGTGGGAGGTTTGGATAGCATAGCGAAGAGTTAACACCCCTGTTGTGTTTGTTTTGCTGTCTGTTCCCCTGTTCAGAAGATTTCACCTCACTTTCTGTCCCTGTGATAATCAGATTTGGAAAAATTTGGCTTGTTGAGGAAACAAGGATTGGTGATAAAGCTTCGGTGGAGACCCCCTTTCCCCGTAATAACTCTTCCAGGAGTGAATTTCCTCCCTAGAGGTAGATTCTCTCACTTCCTGTTGTCTCACCCCCATCTGTAACTATGAGTTGTTTGTAAGTCATATGTTTGTAACTCGGGGACTGCCTGCACTGCACTGAACAATTGCTATTAAATTTTACAGGAGGAATTTCATCTCTTTTTGAAGGCAATCAGCCTGGATGTTCTCTTATTAGTGTCCGCCCCCCCCCCTTCTATCCTATCTTATAGTAATTATAAAACCTTTCAGAAAAGAAAGGTATAAGAACTGGGATTCAATTATTATCCCATATCATACAGTATTATACCAGCAAGGTGTCACATTGATGCATTGCAGGAAACACCTCCATTATATTCTTATATAAAGTATTTTGCTAGTGTGTAATCCAATTTATCTTGACTAGCAAGCTGCCTCTAAAAACCTGCATTAACAAAGCATCTATTTGTCAAACAGACTTGGTTGGTGACCAGGAATTAAAATTAACTTCAAAAAACAAAACCAAACCCCCCCAAAAAAAATCCTGAGAAGTTATCAGGCAGTTACCAACAAAGTTAATATGATTTTAAAAAGCAACAGGAAATGAAAGGAAATGAAAACTTAACATTTATAAATATCTAAAGAGATTAAACAAGCCGGTTTGTAGCCAATACATGTTACTTATGAATGTATACTTACCACAAAAGTCAATGCTGGGCTGTGTGATATCATGTGTGGTGCAAACAAAGCAACAGCCAAAATATATTTTGGGGAAATATGTTGAATGGACCATAAAACTGAATGTCACATCAGTATTTAGATCAGGGGTCCTCAAACTTTTTAAATAGAGGGCCAGGTCACAGTCCCTCAAACTGTTGGAGGACCGGAATATAATTTGAAGAAAAAAAATGAATGAATTCCTATGCATACTGCACATATCTTATTTGTAGTGCAAAAAGCACTTGAAAACTATACAATAATTAAAATGAAGAACAATTTTAACAAATATAACCTTATTAGTATTTCAATGGGAAGTGTGGGCCTGCTTTTGGCTGTTGAGATAGGATTGTTGTTGTTATTGTTGTTCTTGTTGTGTGCTTTCAAGTCATTTCAGACTTTGGTTGACCGTGAGCAAGGGCCAGGTAAATGACCTTGGAGGGCCGTATCCAGCCCCCGGGCCTTAGTTTGAGGACCCTTGATTTAGATATTCAAGTTAAACTGCTGATGTTTGTTTTTAAGCACTTACTCCATATCTTCCAATGGGGGCTTCAACACAATCCAAAAACATATTGATACACATTCAAAAGGTATACGCATGCCTTGACCACCAGATGCCAAACATAAATGTAAACAGAAGACATGACACCACACTGACTGAACAAAAGGCTATAATAGCTCTCTGAAGTTGCAGTAAGCATGAAAGATATTCTTAGAGGAAGAAGGTGTGTAGAGGCATTCATAAGCAGTGTAGCAGGCTCTTTGCCTTCTTAAAAGAAGAAAAGAAGGAAGTAATTAGAGGCTCAAATTGCCTCCACCCGCATCCCCTTCCCCTCCCAAAAAAAGGAAAGAGAAAGGGGCAGAGCTTTCTTGCTTATGGCACAAGCCAAAATATCACAGTTAGAACACAAAGGGATTTGGCTTCTTGTTAACAAAATAAAAAATAAAAAGCTATGCAGGATGTTAGGATAAATTTGTGCAATGAAAGTGCATGTTCTTTAAAGAGAGTATCAAGATGACCTTACCCAATTATGCATGTTTGCTATGTATCTAGAATAGCCTCTGCTGAAATGTTATTTCACTCTCCCCAGCAAAATAAGATTGTAAAAGAGGAATCTAGGAGACGTTCATGACAAAGAAGGGCAGAATCAACTAAAGAATGAAACATCTGGAGAAAGAGTTGGGTGCCCATAGCAGACATTAATGCACCCTCACAGCAGTTGTTAGTTAAATGCAGCTGCAGAGCTGACTACAAGTGAGTAAGAATAATTACGTGATTTTGTCCACCATGGTCACTCCCTTAAAAATAAAAGGTTTTCTAGAAATCTTACTATTGTTATGTGTAATTGTTTCCAGTGAAATCTCTTTTAGTCTTATGAATCCTTTTACGGCTCCAGGAAAACAGGGCAATTATCTGTTTTTCCCTCAGTATGAAAGGAACATGAAAGTCATTGTACAACCAATGCTTTGCCCCAGGAGACTGTTGTTCAGCAGGCCTTAATTCAAAGTGTAACCCAGACAGGGTTTGCCATATGACCTTTGACAAATTAAAAGCCCCCAGGGTCCATTTCCAATTTATGAGAGTGGAAAAAGCCCTCCCCGCTTTCCAGGGCCATTTGAGAATGTGAGATGCTTCCAGACAGACTAGCACTATCAGCTAAAAGTCACTGTGGATCTACTCTGTGTAAATATATGGCAAGTGTGGATGTCACAGGATGCTACCTGATGTCAGACCCAACTTAGCATTGCCAATAAATACTGCAATTTTAAGCCCAACAGCACCTGGAAGGTTGCATGATTCCCAGATGTGCCCTTGTGACTTAAATCCAGTAGGCAAACTCATCGACTCAACTGTTGTGAGATAAATCAATGCTTAGCTAAATCCACCGGTTCAGAGAGTTTATTCTAGTTGGGCCTAACAATAGCAATTCTGACTTAGGAATAAGGGTATGTATGCACCTTTAGGGGTTTTGTGTGTGTTTGTGTGTGTGTGTGTGTGTGTGTCAGGAGCAGCTTGAGAAACTGCAAGTTGCTTCTGGTGTGAGAGAATTGGCTGTCTGCAAGGATGTTGCACGGGGACGCTCGTATGTTTTGATGTTTTACCATCCTTGTGGGAGGCTTCTCTCATGTCCCCGCATGGGGAGCTGTAGCTGACAGAGGGAGCTCATCCATGCTGTCTCCAGATTTGAACCTGTGACTTGTCAGTCTTCAGTCCTGTTGGCATAAGGGTTTAACCCATTGCACCACTGGGAGCTCCTGACCTTTAGAATACTTGTTTATATAAAACAGCCCCATGAATATTGTAGGGTTTTCCTAGGCAAGGGATACTCAGATGTGGTTTGACAATTCTTTCCCTGCAAGACAGCATCTGGCATTCATGGGCAGTCTCTCATCCAGATACTACCCAGGGCTGATCCTTCAAAGATCAAATAGGATCTGGTGCCTTTGAGGTTAAATTTTATTCCTTCTGCCTCCACCAAACAAACTACCTCTGAGTTGAAGCCCAGGTGTGTTTACTACAATATATATGAAGTAGAAGCAAAGAAAGGTATATTTATAATATGTTATACTGACAAATGGCAATTTAGATGAAATTATACTTTGGGTTTTTTTAAAAAAAATGATGATTTACACTAAAAACATAATGTTTTATTACTATTGTTATTAAACACAAATCTCTTTTTTCTTCTTCTGAGGTATTTTCCTGCACTTAATCACCCCAGACCAATGTGTTTCTCCATAAAATTTTGCCAGTTTCAACACTGGGGACCAAGACGCTATGTCCAAACACTTATTAGAACATAATGTTGGCAAGTATTGGATGGTGTGGGGGCGATGGAGAGAAGAAGAAAAAGCCAATGAACTACTCAAGTGTTAAGATGGAAAAACATACAAGCAATGCTGACTGCAACCTCACGAGAGCTGGAATGCCATCTTCAATAATAACATTTGGACTCACAGACTTTTGGTGGATTCTCAAGAGAACCCTTTTAGTACAGCGGTCCACTGTGGCAGCCCATTTCCTCTTGGCCTCCTCCTCCTCCTCCAGCAAGCATCGCCTCAAATCCTGTTCCTCAGCTTTACTCAGTGTCCTGTCAGTAACGGGCCGCACCAGATGGGACAGGTTGAGGTGGCTGTACAGGCTCCTCTCCACCACATATGTGATATTGAACTCGCTGACCGAGTTGCGCCCTCGTAGCCTTCTGTTCGGAAAGCCACAGCTTCCTCCTCCTCCCCCCTTGCTTTTGTGACGAAGAAGCTGTAGGTCACAGATCGAAGGAGACACACCTTTCCTAGCAGGACGCTGGTAAAGAAAGGCTCTAGAACACGAGTAGTTAGAATCACTCTTTTTCAGTCGGATTTGCTTCTTGACACTTTGAATTTCCTCCAGGGATACTAGGACATGGTGCTTGCGTCTGTTGTCATAAAAGCAAACACTTTCTTTACTTACCCCATGGTTCAGAGAGCCAAGGTTTTTCTTCATTTCTCCATCAGTCAATGAGCGGCAAACTTTGGGAGCTTTCTCCTCTTCTGGGTAGGAGAAGAAAGTCCCAAGTTTCTTTGGGGGTTTAATAAGGCCACGGCTTTCAGATTTACTGAAGGTCTTGAGCAATTTCCTGTTAGTACCCCAGTTGTCTAGGCTGCTGGATGAAGGAGATGTGGTCAGGGAATTACAGTCATCCTCTGGCTGCTTCTCAAAAGAGTTATCCGAAGAAGGTTGCTTCTTGTGGACTCCAGAGTAAAGTGCCGATTTGTCATCTGGTACAGGAGAGCTGTCAATGGAACGTTCTTCTGCACATAAAAAGAAAACACAAAACAAAAAGAGGAAGAAACCATCCTATTAGTTTTTATTTTCTCAAAGACTGAGAAAGAAGATTGCAAGAATAAATGGAACTACTTAGCTATAATGAATGAACCAGAATGAACCAGAATGGCAATTATCTAGTGATGCTGAAGAAAACCAATACAATGGTGTAGAAAACTTGTGAATAAAGGGTGAAAATCCCACACCCATTAACCTAGAAGGAAGATTTTGTTCCTTGGTGCCCAAAGTCACTAATAGGTTTCCATGGCTAAACAGGGATTCATATCTTGATCTTCCAGAGTGCTAGTCCAAAACTGAAATCATTGTACAGTGTTAACTATTTTTTAAATATATACTTTTAATAAATACAAATAATAATAAAATAAAATAACCAAGAGTCAGGAAGAACTGTTATACAAATATAGTTTGCAAACATAGTAGAACATATTTCAGGGAACAAGGAATCTTCTTTAAAAGTTTTACCCAAAAGGATATGCTGTTCTAGGTAAAAGAATCCATGACTAGGGAGTTCATTGGGTCTCTGGCATCTATGATTATGTCTGGATTTGAAGAAAATGATAGGTAGTGTCTCTCAGTATATCCACTGTTGGGCTGAATATAGTAAGAATCACAATAAATAGAACTACTGAGGTTTAAATCCAACCTACATGGGCCCAAATTTGGAAAACTATCTTTAAAAATCTTCCTGTTACACATAAAAAGCATGCATTCCACATTACAAACTCTTGATCTATTTTGATACAGGAGAGCAAAAAATAGAAGGGATTGAATTAAATGAGATATTTAACTTAGATTGTATGTCCTGGAGATTATAGGCAAAATCAATAAGATATCCAACCAAAGCTGGGGATGGGGAGAAATTATATGTCTTTCAGACATGTTTCAACTTCAATGCCCAGCATTCAGTATCATCATTGATGGCTGGGCCTGCTGGGAGTTGTATTTAAGCATTTGGATGACCACACAATTCCTACTTCTACATAAAGTTTTGTATTTTATATGCCTATTTTCATTTTGCTCTCAGAAATAACATACAATGTACATAATATTTCATCATCTAAAATTGCAATGGTGTATTGAAAAAGACAGAGAAATACTGAGAAAATAGAGTGATACATAGAAAACAGAAGACCATTTGGAATACCAATACACATAAGACTGCAGGATAAACAACTCATCAAGCTTCCTTTGAAGTACTGTCTTTAGTTCTGGGTGCCTTGTTTTAAGAAGGATATAGACAAGCTGGAGTGGATTCAGAGAAGTGCAACAAAGATTGTAGGGAAAAAATATTCCTGGCTATATTGGCCATGCAGCAAAATACAATAAAATCTGGGACAACTTCAAAGCATAGAATAGAATACATTAAGCAAGCTTTTGAAGATTCACTGGCTTCCTCATCAAGCAATGATGTTAAAAATCAGACAAGAGAAAAATAGTGAAGGCCTACATTCTGGCTGAGCTGTAGCGGGCACTGGGGGATTCAATAAAGGCAAAAGCACCTTATTGGCCTTGTGAGGACTAGGGACAAAGAACATTTTTTTTGTCATGTCAGGAGCGACTTGAGAAACTTCTGGTGTGAGAGAATTGGCCGTCTGCAAGGATGTTGCCCAGGGGACGCCCGGGTGATTTTGATGTTTTTATCATCTTTGTGGGAGGCTTCTCTCATGTCCCCGCATGAGGAGCTGGAGCTGATAGAGGGAGCTCATCTGCCTCTCCCCTGATTTGAACCTGTGACCTGTCAGTCTTCAGTCCTGCCGGCACAGGGGTTTAACCCACTGCGCCACCGGGGGCTTCATACAAAGAACAATAAAAGACAAGTAATAAATGGTAATTCTCATTAGCAACATAACAATAACCTCCTTTGGGATTCCATTGTTTCTCTCCTCTGCAAAACTGACTCTTACTTTTTAGGCAGAGAAAGCTAAAATTTTCAAGAAGTCTAAGTAGGACTACATCTGGGAAAACCTTTAGGTGCTGTATTGGTAAAACTTGCTAAATTACAATCATATGGGAGTGAAGAGAAGACTGACATAACTGCATTCTTATATATATCAGGGCATCACATAGTAGGGGATGATTGGGTTGCTGTGTTTTCTGGGCTGTATGGCCATGTTTCTGATGTTTCACCCACATCTATGCTGCCCTGAGTCACCTTCGGGCTGAAAAGGGTGGGATAAAAATGCGGTAAATAAATAATAAATAAATCTATGGCAGGCATCCTCAGAGGTAGTGAGGTCTATTGGAAACTAGGCAAGTGAGGTTTATATATCTGTGGAATGTCCAGGGTGGGAGAAAGAACTCTTGGCTGCTTGAGGCAAATGTGAATGTTGCAAGTGGCCGCCTTGATTAACATTTAATGGGCCTTGCAGCTTCAAAGCCTGTCTGCTTACTGCCTGGGGGAATCCTTTGTTGGGAGGTGTTAGCTGGCCCTGATTTTTTCATGTCGGGAATTCCCCTGTGTTTGAGGTGTTCCCCTTTAGAGGATGATTATTTGTTCTCCAGCATTTCAAAGGTCAGAAACATATCTAATGCTTTTAAAATTACAGCATGGTAGATTATGATTCAACAATAGCAATAACTTCTTGACAATAATAATGGTTTGGCAATGGAATCAATTGCCTAGAGACATGGTGGTGTCTCCTTCTTTGGAACTCTTCAAAAAGAGCCTTGTGCCTTCCAACTCTATGGCTATTAATAAAATAAAATAAAAATGCTCAGATACTGGTTTCATTAAGTAGGTCAGACAGATCACTCTTATAGATCAGTTCTAGCTCAGTTAAGTTGTAAGAAATTTATTTTCAGTTTATATCCCACTCTCCCACATGGTGCCTAAGAGAAACAAAAGTAATAATAAAAAGATATACGACAACAATGTAGAAAAAAGAGAAAATGGACACAAATATTTAATTAAAACTTATAAAAATGGGTGACATTAAGTTAAGTCACAACCTCATCTAAATAATAATGTCTTCATATCCAGAGAGAAGGTTAGAGAAACATTCTACAACCAAACCTTAGGCACAATCTCTGAGGAGCCCCACTATATACATGGATATTTTTAAGAACATGCCATCCACAGGCAGCCATTTAGTAGCCTACTCCCAAGTTGTTTAGGTCAAAACTGTAACTACATGGACAAAACCAGGTCATGGAGTCTAATGTGGAAGCCGCATGGTCCCTATAACTTGTCCCCATCAATTAGTCAACTTGCAGCATGTGGGACCATGTGACGTTTCACAACAGTTTTCAAAGACACCTTGAATCTACTGTAGTCATCCAGATGTACTTTAATGAAAGCACGGATTCCATAGCCCAAGGTAGAACCTATACCTTATCATGGGCATAGTAGACACATCACTTAGAATATGTAAACATATTATTTGCTGCAGGTGATAATTGGATATGCAAGCGCAAGCTGCATTTCTGCATTGAATCTAGCATCAAACTTGGGTCTTCAAAAAAGTGCAGTGCTACATAGAAGAGATTAAAATTTCATTTCTTCATTTGCTTATTTTTTGATCATGTAGTCCCTTTGTAGTCCCAGTCACTTTGGCCAGGGAAACCTTAATATTATTTCAAATTTGATAGGAAAAGACAACTTTTTTTGCTTGAGTGTTCATCTAACATTCTTTGCCTTTAATGGCAATAGTTAGGAAGCACGCCAGCATTCCTGCTACATTGTCCATAAAGATGCAGTCATTCCATGAAATTTGTGGGAAATTCTCTTTTATCACAAGAACAAGACCATGGGAATCACTTCCTATCACACTGATTAGGCTTATTTTATTTCAAATACAACATTAAACCATATTTCTTGTTGAATGGGCAGAGGTAAATTCCTTATCTCCCTATTTATGTTTGAAAAATAGAACAAACACAAAAATTATGTTTGAAGCAAATTATCCAAATTGTGTCAAATGTGATTCTGGTTTGGAATTTGGCTGGATTCATACAAAGGAGTAAATGGTAGACAGTTTCTTATAAACTAGATACATAAGCTTTTACAGTAATCTTCTCAACCTGTGTATGAGTGAAGGGGATGAAGAAGAAAATGAAGCATCTTATAACTAATTTTTAGAACAAATCATGGTTTGTTCTTAACTCAAAATTGAGTGATGATTTATTATGTAGGTTTTCTCTAGTTTGTGCTCAAAGATCTGCAGATGTATACTTGGCTGTCAATCTCAGACATGATGCACCAAGCAGGGAAATAAATAAAGTCACATCTGTGTCAAAACTTCTCTCTGTTGTAGCCTGCATTAAAACGTATTTGTGTTACTTAAGAATTGGAGTATTTTTAAATGTTTTTACAAAAAAGATTTTTTAAAGTCTTAATGTTTGTTCTCATTTGGCTCATTAAAAATATCATGTCAAATCAAGCCAAACGTATAATCTCCACTTTATTTTCCAATCAAGGGTTAAATCCAGTCTAGTAACGAAAGAAAATCTTCTCCTACTTCCACCCAACTGAACCGCATGAGTTTTCTGACAAGACTCATCACTCCCTGGTGAAAGAATAATTTACAGAGCTTGAAGGGAGTGGTTCCAGTCAGGCAGATGTTTCAGCATCCCAAGAGAAATCCACTGGCCTCCTAACCTATGGGGTAAGCCCCCCACTTGCATTAACCTCATCACTCCTCATTCCCCACAGCAGAACAGCTCATTTAAGAGTCACATTTTAGAACTCCAAAACTTGCAGGGAAGCATCATGAGTGAAATAAAGTGGCAGAAATTCCTGTGTGTTATGGAAAACCCTACAAGTTTACCAGAAAAGATGATCCCATCTCCTTCTTCTGCCGACTTGCTGTTTCCCACAAATCCCTTGAGGCTATACCGAGTACGACTTATCATCATTGAAAGATTTACCCAACTCTTGGGAAATAACATCTTCATGTCTCTTTATGATAACCAGAGTCAGTATTAGTATCTGATACTATAAGCTGCACCAGAAAAAAGCATTGTATATGGGAACAAATAGGCTTTCTGATGAATGTCCCAGCATGCAAATGAATGGGCTTTCTGAAAAATGCCCTAGTTTGCTAACAAATTCTGCTATGTTTGCAAAGCCACCCATAACTCTCAATTCAGTAAAATAAAAACAAGATTTCTGCTTGTGAAACATTTTTTTTTCTATTTCAGCCCATTGTATATCTAAAAACATCTCAGAGTCAAGAGCACATCACAGTACAGTTTCCAACACAATGGGAACTGGGAAGGGTATAGTTGGGATGCACGGAGTATCCTCCAATATTAGTTCATTCATTCATTTGTTAATCCATATCCTATTTACAGCTAATAGTATTACAACAGCAAAACAAGTCCATCATTTTATGTTGCTGTGTGCCTTCCAAGTTGTTTCTAACTTATGGATACGATAAGGCAAACCTATTATGAGGTTTGGTTGGGAAGATATGTTCACAGAAGGTTTTTTACTACCTTCTTATGAAGTTGGGTGACTGTGACGTGCCCAAGGTCACCCAGTGGGTTTCCATGGCAAAGCTAAGATTTGAATCCTTGTCAAACACACTAACCACTATACATGCTAGCTCTATTTATCATTGTATTATCAAAAAGATATGAAACAATAACCTAAACCACATCAAATAAGGACCTGGTAAGAAGTCAATTCAAATAAAAATAAATAAGAAATCAGTGATAAAGTAATACAATCCCCTGTGCTAGCTCCTAATACAAAGGATTGTTTGGATTTAGTCTATTAATTGTAATATAACATACAGAAGCATTACATGTTGCATCAACCAGGAATGGCACTCCTTATTACTCCATATGCAGGATTTCCCTCACTTCCCATACAATTTTCCCATGCACATTTCACCATAAGAATATATCTCTGCTCCTCATCCAGCACATCACCACAATCAGCAGAAGGCACTTTTTTCTCCAGTGCATTTAAATTTTACCTTCAGTACTGGGCTTTTTAATTTCATCCACTCTAATTAATTTCTTTTTCACTCTGCGAGTCGAGTTGACCAGCTTATGCAATCTCTTAAACTTCACCGATTCCTCCGATTCATCATCCGACTGTTCTCTTGACTGGCAAAGAAACAAAAGGAAAAGTTAATGCACTCCGTTATCCTCCAGTTCCAAGCTTTTCTGGAGTCAAGGCAGGCTAGCCACAGGCTTATGGTCCTCTGTGGCAAAGCAAACCCTGTAACTTAAACCAGTTACTTTCAAGCAGAGTATAGTCATTCTTCCTCCCACTCTGCCCCACGCCCAAAGCCAGCTACTTTAAAAAGCGCAGAACGTACCATTTTCACTTCTAAATTAGCACAAGGTAAGGTACCGGGCACTCAAAGGCATTCCAGCCCCCATCCTCCTGTCCGCGCATGGTGCAAAAGCAGCTATTTCCACGTTTCCTCTGAGAATGTTTCAGGCAGAGCTTTTCCCGAGTCTCTTTTTGCCATGCTAGTTAAGCCCCTGTGGTTTGGGTCAGGCACTGGTCTTGTCTGGCCTGGTGGAATGGGTTATAAACAACTTCCCTAAACTGAGCTGAAACTCTATCATTGACTATTTTTTTCCAGACTTACACATAAATGAAAAACAGCAGCAGCAGCAAAAAATGATTGCAGGGGGGGAAGAGGGGTGAGAGAAGGAAAGGAAGGGAGAGGAAAGAAAAGCGGAGATCTCATCTAATCTGACCTATTTTATTAGCTACAGAGATTCACCGAAAGCCCGTCTCCTCCCTTGTCCCCAAAGCTTCTCATACTGAAGATTCTCAAGACTGGCTGTTAATACGGACAGAGCATTCCTCCAGAACTGACTAGAGGAAAACTTTGACCTTTGCAGGCACTCGGTATAGCCCATATTCCCCAACATCCCATTTTGCCTCACATCTGATGCAGTATGCTCGGTTCCAGCTGTTTTCCCTCAAGTCTCAAACATTACAGAGACCAAAAAAATCCATCCTCTCCAGCAACAGTGACACCACAAGCTGAAACAATCCATTCCTTGTGAACCAAATCAGAGCTCTCATTTTCAAGCCAGACCCCAATCCTACTTCCTCTGTTTTTCCTTGTTTAAAATTTGTACATGAGAGGGAGTTGGAAGGGGGGTGGGAAGGGGAGAGGGAAGAAAGAGTGGGGCTGTCTGCTTTTACAGTACAGATCTGCCACTGTATAGAATGCATTCCAAGAGGGAGGGACGTCCCAGCTGGAAATCTCTAACAACTACATCCCTCACTTTTTGCTCCATATACAGCCCTCACCAATTCATCATATTTCCAACATCCAGCTCAGAAATTTCAAGAGCCACTTCCTGTCAGTGAACTTCAGGTCATTTGAGTTGCCATGTTGGAATGCACCATTGTTATCTGGTCATTTTTAATCCTGACAAAATATGCTTTATTTAAGAATGATGCCATGAAATGCCTATGCATTACGCTAGCTATCTGAATTCAGCAAGACATCAACTGACATTTTGAGACCCTCCATCTGGTTTTGTTTACAATGCAGCCCAGAGTATTTTTAACACCAAACAAGTGATATCCATGGAGATATATCTCACATGGATTCTTGACATTCTGATAAATAATGTTGAATATTTCCCCTCTCCTTTTGGAGTTGGACAATGAGTCCAGTATTTAAGTATGTTTAAGTGTGTAGACTACATTGCTTCGAGAAATTATAAATTCCAACTTCTTTCCAAAAAAACTATTGGAATGAAGTCTGAGGTTAAAGCCTGGAACACACAAATAATGGTTGATGGGGATGCACAAACATATGTACGGTACTCTTTAACTGGAAAATATGTGAAGTGATTCAAAGACTGGAATAGCACTGGCAAAGAGTGTAGTTTTAGAGGGATATGACCTGTGAGTTATTATTTACAATGAATTTTAAAACAAGAGTACTGCTAATCCACTGAAAATGGATCTATCTACTTTCACATTACATAAATAGGAAGATTGTTGTGGTAAACATTTTCAAAGAAAGCCATGCTCAGATTATGGGTACATGACCAGAAGGCCCTTTAAAGCAGTGGTTTTCAACCTTCCTAATGCTGCGACCCCTTAGAATCATAGAATTGGAAGAGACCTCATGGGCCATCCAGTCCAACTCCCTACCTAGAAGCAGGAATATTGCATTCAAAGCACCCCTGACAGATGGCCATCCAGCCTCTGTTTAAAAGCTTCCAAAGAAGGAGCCTCCACCACACGCCGAGGCAGAGAGTTCCACTGCTGAATGGCTCTCACAGTCAGGAAGTTCTTCCCCTCATGTTCAGATGGAATCTCCTTTCTTGTAGTTTGAAGCCATTGTTCCTCGTCCTAGTCTCCATGGAAGCAGAAAACAAGCTTGCTCCCTCCTCCCTGTGGCTTCCTCTCACATATTTATACATGGCTATCATATCTCCTCTCAGCCTTCTCTTCTTCAGGATAAACATGCCCAGCTCCTTAAGCCGCTCCTCATAGGGCTTGTTCTCCAGACCCTTGATCATTTTAGTCGCCCTCCTCTGGACACATTCCAGCTTGTCAATATCTCTCTTGAAATGTGGTGCCCAGAATTGGACACAATATTCCCGGTGTGGTCTAACCAGAGCAGAATAGAGGGGTAGCATCACTTCCCTAGATCTAGACACTATGCTCCTATTGATGCAGGCCAAAATACCATTGACTTTTTTTGCTGCCACATCACATTGTTGGCTCATGTTTAACTTGCTGTCCATGAGGACTCCAATATCTTTTTCTCTAATCTGTCAAGATCATTTTGAATTCTGCCCCTGTCCTCTGGAGTATTGGCTATCCCTCCCAATTTGGTGTCATCTGCAAACTTGATGATCCTGCCTTCTAGCCCTTCATCTAAGTCATTAATAAAGATGTTGAACAGGACCAGGCCCAGGACAGAACCCTGCGGCAATTTGCTTGTCATTTCTTTCCAGGATGAAGAAGTGACGAGTGGAGTGCCGCAGGGTTCCGTCCTGGGCTACAGTTCCTCATGTTGTGGCGACCCCCAACTATAAAATTATTTTGTTGCTACTTCATAACTGTAATTTTGCTACTATTATGAATTGTCATGCAAATATCTGATATGAAGAATGTATTTTCATTCACTGGGCCAACTTTTGCACAAATACCAGATATGCCCAAATTTGAATACTGGTGAGGTTGGGGGGAGAGATCGATTGGTGTAAAATTTTAGTCTACAGTTAATAAAACAGAAAATTGCGTGGTTTATCTGAATAGTTTTATGAGATTTCCATTTGGGACTAAAAATATGCTCACATGTGTATATATTGCTTGAACCTGAGGGTTACTGCTGCCTACACTGAGCAGGAGGGTTGGACCTTATGGACCATAGGGACTCTTCCAACTGAATGGCTCTGTGAACCAAAATTCAGCAATACCACTTTAGATATAAGGAGAGATGACAAAAGCCAAAAAGTGGCAGATATAATTTTCATCTTTAAGGATATGCTAAATTATTTTTAATGAGTTTAACTTGATAGCCATGCAGTGACGTAACAGATTTGCTAGCAGGAAAATCCCAAGAGCCTTGTAATGTGATGGTTTAAGTGTTGGGCTAGAATTCTACCAGAAAATACTTCAAATCCCCATTCAGCTATGGAAACCCCAATTGACACATTCTCAGCCTTAGAAGAAGGCGAGAGCAAATGTATTTTGAATTAATCTTCCTACAAAAACTCTAGGATAGGCTTGCCGTTAAGTCAGAATCAATATGAAGACATATAATAATGCTGGGAAAACAACACACATACACTTGTGAGCTTTGGGAACACAGTATTACACAGTTGGGCTACAAAAAACTTTTTTAAAGTAAAAGCTATAACACAGTACAGTAGAAGTGCTATCTATCCACATGGTTGTAATGGGGAGAGAAGGAAACTCTTCTAGAGAATCATTACAGGAAATGGATAATATTTGCCTTATGTTAAATTGTTCCCTACAGGGAAAGGTCTTTTATCACCCTAAAGTTTTTACAGTACAACTCTGTGCTTTACCTCTAACAAGCACACCGACATGCAGTTCCAATGCATTTCATCAGAGCCAACAACTCAGTGCCAAAACAACATAGCCAAAGAACATGTATAACCACCTATCTCTTGAGCAGTTGTAGGAAGTGTCCTCCTTGGATATTCCAAGGAATAAAACATGGATCTGAGGGACTGCAATCAGGAACAGCTTGAATCTCATCCCTCCTGTTTCAGGTCCCTTCCCCCTAATGGCAGAAGTCTTAATGATTTTGGCTAATGCTGGATGCAGAAATTCTGCCGTGAATGCTTAAGTGTTTCGTTTTAGTTTCTATGGCAACATTACATCAGATTGCAGACAGCTGGCTCCACCGTTTCAAACCATAAGAAATTGACCAAGCCAATTCAGAAAAATCAGACTTGCTTTAAAGATATAGCACACTATTCAGCTGCCAGCGGAATGGTGCAAGACCAATGGGGCCCAGTTTCTGGCAATGTTGCAAAGGTGGAGTCTATTTCTTTGCTCCTTTTGGAACAAGTGCCTCGCTGACACATCAGCAATGTTCTAATCCTGAAGCAAAGCCAGGGTCATACTATTCCACAACTGCACAAAGGACCACAGGGGAACCGAATCAAAATCAACAGCATCTGCACTTACAAAGAACTGAGCACACACAGTAAACTGAAACAACCTTTAGTCAGATGATCCCTATTGCAACAAAGCCAAATTCTCATCCTCAAAGTATGTTTATAACTCAGAAAATTGGCTCTACTCCTAATTCACCCAGAAGTTATACAGCCTTCAGTTCTTCTCTTTGTGGTCAAGATCCCATACTTCATCCCAAAGTTCATTTTCAGGAAGAAAAATGACAAACTAAAGGAAAATGTCATAGAGGACACCATCCAATGGTAGAGGGCAGGCTCTGCACAAAGGTGACATTGGACACAATTCTCAGCATCTCTACATAAGATGGAAGATGGAAATAAGATGGAAAAGTCTGTTTCAAGTCCTTTGAGGAAAAAATCAGTGTGAGGTTTCCAAGTCTGTTTCCAGTCAGTAATAACATTGACTCAATGGACCAGTGACCTTGATTTGTATTCATCACCTT